AGACAGAGAGAGACAGAGAGAGAGAGAGAGAGAGAGAGACAGAGAGAGAGAGAGAGAGAGACAGAGAGAGACAGAGAGAGACAGAGAGAGACAGAGAGAGAGAGAGAGAGAGACAGAGAGAGACAGAGAGAGACAGAGAGAGACAGAGAGAGAGAGACAGAGAGAGAGAGAGAGAGAGACAGAGAGAGACAGAGAGAGACAGAGAGAGACAGAGAGAGAGAGAGAGAGACAGAGAGAGAGAGAGAGAGAGACAGAGAGAGACAGAGAGAGACAGAGAGAGACAGAGAGAGACAGAGAGAGAGAGAGAGAGACAGAGAGAGAGAGAGAGAGAGAGAGAGACAGAGAGAGAGAGACAGAGAGAGACAGAGAGAGACAGAGAGAGACAGAGAGAGAGAGAGAGACAGAGAGAGACAGAGAGAGACAGAGAGAGACAGAGAGAGAGACAGAGAGAGAGACAGAGAGAGAGAGAGACAGAGAGAGACAGAGAGAGACAGAGAGAGACAGAGAGAGACAGAGAGAGACAGAGAGAGAGAGAGAGAGACAGAGAGAGAGAGAGAGAGAGAGACAGAGAGAGACAGAGAGAGACAGAGAGAGACAGAGAGAGACAGAGAGAGACAGAGAGAGACAGAGAGAGACAGAGAGAGAGACAGAGAGAGACAGAGAGAGACAGAGAGAGAGAGAGAGAGAGAGAGAGACAGAGAGAGAGAGAGAGAGACAGAGAGAGACAGAGAGAGACAGAGAGAGACAGAGAGAGACAGAGAGAGACAGAGAGAGACAGAGAGAGAGACAGAGAGAGAGAAAGATAAAATAACTAAACCTCATCATTTAATTCTGGCCATGCTAACTGATCATTGTTTTGTTTGATTTCTTTGATAAATTTCGGCAAATTATCCAAAATAATCGACCGTTTTTCAGCCAACTGTTTCACTAAAACATTGACATCCTTTGAATAACCTAACTGTTCTAATGAACAACAAGATTGTTTGGCTGTAATTTCTGCATAGTATTTGGACCAATAGACCTCCCACTGGGCTCGTCTAGCTAGTAGCTCATGTCGTTTTTGTGAATCAGTTTGGTTGGCAATCGTAGCCAACATTTGTCGAAAAAAATCACGACTCACCTGACAAAACGGTACGTAACGGCTGGCCAATAGTTCCAGTCCTTCCTGTTTGTATTGCCTACCTTTACGGTCAGTATATCGACATTGTTTCTCTACTGATCGATGAAGCGATTGAACTAACTGGCCATCCGATAGTAATTTAATCGTAGCTAATCCGGCATAATCTGGCAGTTGTGGCCATAGATTACCATTTACTGGACATTTACCGTGATTTGGTGGCCATTGATTTTTACCGTAAACTGTTTGATAGATTATTTTATTATAATAATAATAATAATATTAATAAATTAGTTATAAAATAATAATTTCATAAAAACTAACCTGATCCATTAATATAAACTATAATAGTTAGTAGAGCTATAATAGCATTTACTAATAGATTCATTGCCTATAATTACTTAATTATATTTTTTAAAAAAAATTTTAAAAAATTAATTATATATCAATAGTTTTAATAAAAATTATTTTATTTATATTAACTGTATTTATAGTATTTTGTTTGTGTGTAAATCAATATCAAAAATTGTTTATTAAATTTTATTTTCCATAATTCCTAGAATTTTAATGTTGATTTAACTAAAACAATGATTGATTTAAAATAACAATATAAATTATATTATATTATAGTTAATTAATTTATTATTAAAATAATAATTGAAAACAATTTCAATATTAAAAAACTTTATTCTGACTAATAATAAAAATAAATATTATTATTACAATTTATTTTTACAGATTCATTATTATACAGTACATGTTAAAATTATTATATTTTAGTAATTTTATTTTTCTAATATGAGTTTTATTATAAATTTTTATTAATTAAAATATGGCTAAAATTTTTGAATAATAATAAAGTAACATATGTTAATATGTAAAATAAATTATTATTTAATTAATAAGCAATTAATTTAGTAAATAAAAAACAACAATACAATTTAGTTAAAAAAAATAATAAGTAAAAAATATTGTTTAAAATAATTTTTAATATGACTGCTTAAAAAAATTTACAGATTGAATTGCTTAATAAATTTTAATGTTATTTTATAAAAATCATATAATACTAATAAAAACTTTTTTAATATAAAGTTTTATTATTATTGTTATTATTTGAATGCAAAACAATGAGATGGATATAAATATCTTTTGAAATAAAAATTAAATTAACAATTAATTTTGTCTTTTAAAAAATAATAATAAAACTTTAATTAATAATATTATGTTGTTAATTTTCTAAAAAATAGCTAGTATAATGTTTAATTTTATTTTTAAAAATTTACTTTATCTTTTTTTTTGTATATTAATTTACTGTTTATTATTAAAACAATTAAAGTAGAGTTTGTAAATTAATTTAGTTAATTAAGTAATATTAAATTTATATTATTGTGCAACTATATTAGTAGAAATTGATTTTATGATATGTAATCTTATTTTTCTAAAAAATAGTAATTTTTTCTAGTTTAGTAGTTTTCTAAGAAAATTATTATAATTATTTTTTCTGTTAAATATTTTTACAAAAAAAACATTATTTCAAAATCATTATTACAAAAATTATTATTACAAAAACATTATTACAAAAATTTTTTACTAAGAAAATTATTACTAAAAAAAATAATATTACAATAATTAAATAAAATTGAATTTTTAAAGTACAAATTTTTTACATCAATATGTTTTTGTAGACTGTTGTTTTAATAATAATAAAAAAATAATAAGAATTTTGATTAATAATTTGATTTATTATTTTTAAACAAATTAAATCTATTGGCTAAATTTTTTTTAAAAAAATAATGAAATTACACATGTCTAATTTAGTTTAATTTTTCATAAATAATTTTTTAAGAAAAAAACTATAAATACAAACAATTTTCAAGCAATTGAAAGCATTTATAAAAATTCATTATAAATTTATAACTTAAAATTAAAAATTAAAAAAATTAATTATGAATTTTATATTAGCTATCACTACTATAGTATGTCTACTACTATCATCAGTTATATCAAGTAAACATATAATTAATTAATTTTTATTAAAAATTATAATCTTTATAATAAAAAATAAATAAATAAAATCTTTATTTTTTTATTTAATTTTTTTTAAGTACCCCATTGTCCGGTCAACAATCTATGGGAAGCGCCGCCAGATTATGCCGGACTCGCAACCAAATTTCAATCCAAATCCAATGACCAATTGATTCATTTGATTAATCAGGATATTGATAGTCGATGTCAACTAACCGATCGATTGGGTCGACAATTCAAACGTCAGAGTGTGGAAATACTGGCACAACGTTACGCAACAAATTGCGTAACCAATCGATTGTTTAACGATTTGTTAGTGGCTGGTATTGTAACCATGGTAACGGATGATCAAGTTAAACATCAATTACTACTGACATTGGCCCAATGGAACTACTATTGGACAATATATTTTACCAGGACTTTAGAAAGACATAAACAATGTACAATGAAACAATTGGGCTATGGAGGGGATGTACTGGAATTGCAAAAACAATTTGATGATAAACGAAATCAAACGGCGGTAACACTGGAAAAATTGTTGAAATCAATTTCAAATGATTTACCCCTTTTGAAGCCAATCATTGATAAGGTTTAGTATTTTTGTTTGTTTGGATGTGGTGGGTTAGGGGTGTTATAATTATAATTACTAAAATTATTTTTTTTAATTACATATAAGGTTCTGGATCTGTATAATGGTTATTATGCATTCATTGACAAAATGTTGGCCAATTTGACGCCCGAAGCGACTAAAGTGAAAACATTGCAATATCTGCTTTACGAAACTGATTTATTCAGTAGGGGTTTTGATAATTTAAAATTTTAAAAAATCAAAATCTAAAAGCCATTGCTTGCTAACTGATTAATCGAGTTAATTCAGCTAATAGTATACTAATAATTTTTCAAGTACTATTTCAAAAAGTATTATTTCATTAGTTTTATATTTATCAAATATTATTTTTTTTAAATTACATTTAAATAAATAAAAATTTTTATTAAATTTTTATGTTTTAATTCAATTTGGAAGCATGTAAACCTATATAACTATAAAGTGTAGGTGTGGGTGTGGGTGTGGGTGTATAGGTGTAGGTGTAGGTGTAGGTGTAGGTGTAGGTGTAGGTGTAGGTGTAGGTGTAGGTGTAGGTGTAGGTGTAGGTGTAGGTGTAGGTGTAGGTGTAGGTGTAGGTGTAGGTGTAGGTGTAGGTGTAGGTGTAGGTGTAGGTGTAGGTGTAGGTGTAGGTGTAGGTGTAGGTGTAGGTGTAGGTGTAGGTGTAGGTGTAGGTGTAGGTGTAGGTGTAGGTGTGTAGGTGTAGGTGTAGGTGTAGGTGTAGGTGTAGGTGTAGGTGTAGGTGTAGGTGTAGGTGTTAATATACATTTGATTACTTTATGATTTATTTAAAAAATAAAATTTTATTAAATAAATGCAAACTAGATATTTTATTGTTTATTTTATATTTAAATTATTCAAATTAAAAAATAAAAATAAAAATAAAACAAATATAATAATTATAAAAGAAACTTTAGTTCTTGATTAAATAATAAAAAAAATAAAATAATAATATAACAAATCAGAATTTAATATTTTCAATACCGCGGCTATAAATGTCTGCTTCGTAGACAAGATTCTGCAATGTTTTCACTTTAATCGGTTCGGGTCTTAAATACAACACAATTTCGTCAGTGTTTTTATTATCTGTCACTTGATCATCCAGAGACTATCATAATTAAACAATAATAATAATAATATATATTTTAAATAATAATGATAAAAAATACCCCCATCCCAAACCCCAACCACATAGCCACCCACTACTATCACCACAACCTTAAAAAATAACGTTACCTTTTCATTAAAATTCAACCAAAATTTCCAATCATCGTTTTGTTTGTCCATTTTTATCCATTTTTCTAAAGTATCCAAAACTTTGTAACGTTTATCCTCTAATTGATTCTGTAAATCATCAGGATCGTCACTGTAACCCAACTGTTCCATCGAACAATCTTGTTGTCTTGACAATGTTTTACCCAAATATTCGGACCAATAGTAATGCCATTTGGCCTGAGCTTTGATCAGCTCATGTCGTTTACTTTCATCCGTTACATTGACTTTTATTCCGGCCAATACCCTGGCGTTAAACTGGCGCTCATAGTCGCATGATTTGGCCAAACGCTTGGACATAAACACCAGTCTCTCCTGTTTGTAGGCCCGACTCTTATCATTGGTTAGCTTACATTGTTTGGCAATTTCCTGATTAATACTCTGAATCAAGTGGACATCCGATTTGGACTGGAATTTAGTTTTAAGACCGGCATAATCTGGCGGCGCTTCCCATAGATTGTTGACCGGACAATCAGGATCTACCGGATGAATTTTTTTTAAATTTTTAATTTTAAATTAATATTTTATTGAAAAAAATTAGTATAAATATATACCTGATATAACAACTGATAGTATACAAGCTGTTATAGTAATAGCTAATATAAATTTCATATCGAAATTTAATTGATTAGTATATTAAAATATATAAAAAAAATATTTTTTATTTAATTACCAAAACTACTGTACTTAAATTTATAATATACCTGTATATATATATATGAATTTATACTATAATTTAGTCAAGTATTTATAGTTTTAATTCTAACATTATCTAATATACTGCTAGACTATAGACATGTATTTTTATTTAAAAAAATGCCAAATAATAATATGATAAATCAGTAAATTTTCTTAAAAATTGATTTATTAGATTGTTTTTTTAGTTTAAAAAAACAGTTAAAATTATTTTTTTATAAATATTTTACTTGTTTAAATTATTAACTTATAATACTTATATCATATACACACCTAATAAAACACATATTTAGAATTAATAAATATTAAGGTTTTAATTAAAAAATTATAATAATTATTTAATTTTTAAATTTAAATTTTATTATTTACTTCTATAGACTATAGACTTTTGTATTTTTTAATGCTAAATAATAATATAATAAATGAATATAATTTTTTTAATTAAATAAACATTAAAACTAAACTGTTATAAATTATGTGGTAATTGTTTACTTAAAATTATTTTGTAATATTTTTTAAAACCTGTTTAACAAAATAATGTTTAGTTTAAAATTTTACATTTATATTATAAAATGCTTAGTCAGTTAAGGTTTTATATATACATATATTAATTAAATTGATATTCAACTTATTTATTAAATTATATTCAAACACAAAATACAAACAATAAAGATTAACTATTTATTAAAATTTAAATTAAAAAGAAAATTATAATATTTATTTAATTTTAAATTTTATTTTATTATTTTTAGCTATAGATATTTTCTAATATACAATAAAATATAAGTTTTTTATTTACTTAATTGTAAATATATACTATTAAGTAAATTAATACTAAATTATATAGTAATACTAAAAAAAATCAAAAATTAATTGATAGAAAATATATTTAAATATTTTTTGTTGACTTTTAAATACTTACATTAAAATAATTAAAATTAAAGTTATATTATATATACTGTATATATATATATAAGCTAATAAATATTGTTCCCTTAAATTTGTTTATTAAATTAATTATTAATTTATTGCAATGTAATTTTAAAATATTAAAAATACTTAAAAATACTATATATTATAAATAAAAATAAAATACACTAGATGTAGTTGTATGTATAAATTTTCATGGTGATTTAATTTAATAATAATTAAAAAAAATTTTAAAAAATGAATTCAATGAAAACATTTTATTTTACTGATTATTTTAAATTTATTTTTTTAATAAATTAAAATAAAAATACAAAATTAAAAAAAATAAATTAATATATTAATAAATGTTCTTGAATATTTATATATTTAAACAAAAATTACATAAAATGTTTGAATTTTTCTCTATTATACTTTTTTATAAAATAAATATTTATTTTATAAAAAAAATTAACCAAAAATAAATCATATTATTAAAAAAAACGAAAATAATTAAAATAATATATACACACAAAAAAATCACATTATAATAAATAAATAATATAATTATATTTATTTTATTTTTAAATTTAAATTTATTATATACTGCTATGTTATAAACTTATGTTTATTTTTTAAATTGTAAATAAATATACTAATATGATAAATCTATATAATTTTTTATAAAATAAACAATTAGACTAAAGGATTATAAATTATGTGTAAATTGTTTACAAAAAAAATAATTTTGTAATATTGTTTTTTTAATTTTTTAATAAACTGTCTAATAAAATAATGTTTAGTTTAAAATTTTAAATATATATTATAAAATAATTAAATTGCTGTTAGTTAAAGTTTTTTATATTGATTAAACTAATATTAAAATTAATATTAAATTATATTTAAATACAAAAAAAAACAATCTAAAAAGAATAATATTAAAATACAATATAATTTTTTTACTTACTTATTTTTTGCTAATCATGTATACTATTAATTTTTAATTACAAAAAATGCATAAATTATAATTTAAACAAATTATTGTTTTAAATATTAATTAAGAAAACTATATTTAAAAAAATGTTAAACATATATTTTAAATACTAGATATAAACAATTATAAAAATTATTTTATTTTTAATAAATAATAAACATTAAAACTAACCTATATTTGTAAAAACTGTATATATTATAATTATGATAATATAAAAATAATAATATAAAATTCTAAAATAATTATTAAATTTAATAAAACAAATAACAAACATTTAACACATTTTAAGGTAGGTGTAAGTTTGTATGTTATTAAAAAAATTCAATTAAGTAAATGCAGGAAATATATTTTATTGTTAAATTATTATTGTTAAATTTAGATTTACAAATAAAAATAATTTATAATAAAAAACTACATAACAAAAACAACAAAAATACTAATAAAAACAATTTTTTTCATTAAATAAAAAACAAAAATTTTAAAGTTTAAAATTTAATATTTTTAATACCGCGACTATAAATGTCTGCTTCGTAGACAAGATTCTGCAATGTTTTCACTTTTATTTTATTGGGCGTCAAATCGGACACAATAGAGTCAGTTTCTTCAGAATCTTCTTTTTGGTCATTCAGAGTCTATAATTAGTAGTCAATAATAATAATAATAATAATAATAATGAATATATTTAAAAAAAAAATAAAATAACGTTACCCCTTCATTACTATTTCTCCAAAATACCCAATTATCGTTTTTATTGTCCATATCTATCCATTTCTTTAAAGCTACTAAAACTATGTTACGTTTATTCTGTAATTGTTTCTGTAATTTTTGAACATTTTCACTGTAACCCAACTGTTTCATTGAACACTGTTGTTGTCTTGACAATGTTTTACCCAAATATTCCGACCAATATGAATGCCATTGGGCCTGGGCTTTGATCTGTTCATATTGCTTACTTTGTGTTACATTTTCTTTTATACCGTCCAATACTCCGTCGTTAAACTGGCGCTCATAGTCGCATGATTGGGCCCATCGTTCGGCCATAAATACCAGTCCTTCTTTTTTGTAGATTCGACTCTTATCATTGGTTAGTTTACATTGTTTTGAAATTTCCTGATTAATACTCTGAATCAATTGGGCTTCCGATTTGTTCTGGAACTTTGATTTGAGTTCGGCATAATTTGGCGGCGCTTCCCATAGATTCTTAACCGGACAATCAGGTTCTATCAATTGAAAAGAAAAAATAAATTTTAAATTTTAAATTAATATAATTATTTACTTGATATAACAGATGATAGTATACAAGCGCCTATAGTAATAACTACGGTAATAAAATTCATATTGAAATTAATTTTATTATTGAAATTTTTTTTTAAATATATAAAAAAAATAGTTTTTTTTATTTAATTCTACTAAAATTTCTTTGATTGAATTAACTTTATTTTACTTCGGTATTTATAGTTTAGTTTAGGTATTTTTTTTAATTAACATAATAAACTGCTAAACTATAGACAATAATTTTTATGAAAAAATGCCAAATAATAATATGTAAATTAATAATTTACTAAAAAGTGATTTGTAATTAATTTAGTTAAAAATTTTTTGTTCAATATTATATTTCTATATATTATTTTAAAATGTTTAGTAGGTTAATGTTATTTATTTTTTATTATTTATATTACTATGCATTTTATAGTATATATGTAAAATTTTATACTAAACATTATTTTATTAAACAGTTTTTTATAAAACAATATTACAAAATAATTTTAAGTAAATAATTTATATATACACACACCTAAGAATCAAACATTATAATTATTAAAAATTTTTAAAAAATTTTATTAAAAAAAATACTTATATTTATTTAATTTTAAAAAATAATTTTATTATTTACTGCTCTGCTATAAACTTATGTATTTTTTAAATGTTAAATAATATTATGATAAATCAATATAATTTTAATTAAATAAACATTTAAACTAAACGGTAATAAATTATGTGTTAATTGTTTACTTAAAATTATATATTAATATTTTTTTTTATTTTTTTTAAATGTTAAATTATATTCAAACACAAAAATCAATCTAAAAAGAATAAATATTTATTAATATTTAAATAATAAAAATATTTAACAATAGTTTTTTTTCAAATATACAATACAATACTACAAGTTTTTACTTACTTTTATTTTGCTAATCATGTATACTAATAATTTTTAATTACAAAAAAATGCATAAATTATAATTTAAACAAATCATTGTTTTAAATGTTAATTAAGAAAACTGTATTTAAAAAAAAATGTTTTAAACAGATATTTTAAATACTGTATATACAATAGTAAATTAATAGTTAATTTTTATTATTAAATGTTTATTATAATCTAATTAGATTTTAATTGTTTATTTTTTTTACAATTATTTACAATGTTATATTAATACAGTAATAATACAATACTAAACAAAATAAAATGAAATATTAATTCAAAGATCTTACAGTAAGATAGAAAATATATTTTAGATAGTTTTTACTGATTTTTGAATATTTAAATAAAAATTTAAGTTATATTATATATATATAAGCTAATAAACATTGCTCCTTTAAAATTTATTTTTAATATTTTTAAGTTTAATTACTGTACTTATTGCATTTTATAATTTTAAAATATTTAAAACTAATATTAAAAACTATAGAATACTATATAATAAAAATAAAATAGACTAGATGTTATTGTATTTGTAAATTTTTATGATAATTTACTATAATGGTAAATAAATTTTATTTTATTTTTTCGATTTTAAATTTAGATTTTTAAATAAAAATACAATATAAAACAAGATAAAATAATAAAAAAAAAATTATGTTCTTGATTAAATATAAAAAAAATAAAACAATAATTTAAAAAATATATAATTAACTTAATTATTTTAGTAGAGTGTTATTATTATTATTATTAGAATATAAAATATATTTAGAATGTTTGAATTTTTATTTATTTATTACAAAACAAAAGATTTTTAATGTTTTAATCTTTAATTTTAACTTTTGATTTCTAATTTGTGATTAAAATTTAGCTATGACGGACACATATAATTTAGTTACGAATTTATCCATTTCATGATTTTGTAAAAAAATGATTTGCTTAAAATTTAACTATAATAATAAAAATTTGTACTCTATATTGATTTTCGTTTTTTTTCCAAAATAATATGCTTAGTACACTAAATGTACATGTGTAACTTTTATATTGGTTAATATATTAAATGTTTATTTTATTTATTATATATTCTTATATATATTTTTAACTAAATTTATGTTTTATTTTATTTATTAGTGTTTAGTAACTTATTCAATTATTATTATTATTATTTTCTGGTTAGTACTAAATTAACATGGGTTATTATTTTTAATTAAGAATCTCTGGTTTATTTTGTAACATTATTTTTATTTAAAAAAAAATATTAATATATATATAGTATATATTAATTTAATTTAATTATCAATTATTTGTTTATAATAAGTATAATATTTATAATATATATTGTATAATATTTATGTATAATATTTTAGTTTGTTTAGTTAATTTTATAATTTTTTATATATAAATCAATTACTGTTAAAAAAATTACCTATAATAATAATAATAATAATAATAATAAAATTTTTCATAATATTTAATTGTAATTTTAGACTAATATTATAAAAAGTATAAAATACAAAATAAATTATATAAAAATAAACTTGACTATATACAATTGTATGTGTATGTTTTAATATAAATGTTGATTTTATAAATCCAAAGATTATTTTATTAATTTTATTTTTAAATTTAAAAAAACATTTAAAAACAACAATAAAAAATAAAAAAGTTGTTAAAATAAAAATATAAAATAAATTAAAGTTTAGAATTTGATATTTTCAATACCGTGGACAAAAATATCTGTTTCGTAGACAAGATACTGCAATGTTTTCACTTTAATCGTTGTCGAAAAAAAATATATAATAAATTTCAAAACAAAATATATATTCTTGATTAAATACAATAAAAAATTTAACGTTAAAATTAAAATTTAATATTTTCAATACCGCGGCTATAAATGTCTACTTCGTAGACAAGATTCTGCATTGTTTTCACTTTAATCGCTTCGGGCGTCAAATTGGCCACAATTTTGTCAACGTTTTCATAATCGACTTTATTGTCATCGAGAGCCTGTTATCAGCAGTATACAAATAATAATAATTATATTAAATTTTTTGTTTTATAATTTCTAATAGTTTTTTTTAAATTTAATAGTTTTAACTAAATTTTAAACAATTTCTAAAAAGTAATTATAGTAGTAGTAGTAGTAGTAGTAGTAGTAGTAGTAGTAGTAATAATAATAATAAATCTATAAAAAAATACTTACCTTTTCATTAAATGACTGCCAAATCTGCCAATCATTGTTTTGTTTATCCTGATCCACCCAATTAGCTAGCGTTGCCAAAATTTGGTTACGTTTATCCACGAATTGTTTCTGCAATTCTCCCAAATCCTCACTGTAACCCAACTGTTTCATCGAACAATCTTGTTGCCTGTACAATATTTTACCAAAATAATCGGACCAATAATAATGCCATTGGGCCTGGGCTTGGATCAGCTCATGTCGTTTACTTTTATCGGTTACATTAGCTTTAATGGCAGCCAATATCTGTCGATTAAACTGGCGATTATAGTCGCATGATTTGGCCAAACGATCGGCCATAAACACCAGTCCCTCCCGATTGTAGGTACGACTCTCGGCATTGGTTTGCTTACATTCTTTAGCAATATCTTTATTAATACAGTGAAACAATTGGTCAACCGATTCGGATTGGAATTTAGCTTTGAGTCCGGCATAATCTGGCGGCGCTACCCATAGATTGTTGATCGGACAATCAGGACCTAAAAAAATTAAAATTTTTATAATTAATGAATAATATTAATTAAAATTATATATATATATATATATATATATATATTTACTTGATATAACAGTTGATAGTATACAAGCGACTATAGTAATAGCTATTATAAAATTCATATTGAATTTTTTCTATAATATTATTAATATTTTTTTTAACAAAAAAAATTTAATAAAAATTTAAAATTTTATTTTAATAAAATATTAAAACGAAAAAATTTTATACTATACTTAACTATTTAATTTTCAGTTCAGTATTTATAGTTTTTAAATTTATGTCAAAATATTATAAATGTATTTTTTCTTGTATGTAAACTAATATTATTTTAAAATTTAATTAAATGTAAAATCATTATGTAAACTTTAAAACTTTAAAAAGATTTCAAAATACTGTTATTTTGATATATTATTTATTACTTAAATTTTATATTTCTTAATATTTTTTTATAATTATAAGTAATAGTTTATTATTATAAGTAATATAGTTTTTTAAATAGTTTTTTTTTAATAATTTTATCTAAAATATGTGACTTTTTTTTAAAAAAAATACTTTATTTAGATTATGTTTAGTATAAAAATATTTATTTGTTATATTTTTATTTAAAAATGTTTATTAAAATTAAATTTTAAATAATGAAATAATTTAAATAAAATTTAATATTGTTTAATTTCTTAATATGTAGACAATTAAAAATGTAAATGTTTGTGTAAATTAAAAAAAAATAATAAATTATAGACAAACAAATATAAACAAATTATTGTTTTAATACTATTTTTGTAAATATTATTAAAAAAAAATTTTGTAAAAATAAATTGTTTTGTAATATTGTTTATTTTAAATACAAAATAAATTTTAATAAAATAATAATAATTTTTTTTTATAAATTTCACTAATAATTGTATAAAATATACAAAAGACTTTTGTTTATAATTTTAGTTATATTATGTTATTTGTTATATTTAATTTAAATAAAAAAAATATAATAAAAAATATAAAAAACATTTTCTAAAATATATAAAAATATTAATTATTGTTTAATTTGTAAATCTTTATACAATTAAAAATATATATAAATTATAGTTTAATTTAAACAAGTCATTGTTTTAATATAATATTATACTAAGAAAATAATATTACAAAATTTTTTTTATAAAAATATAAAATTATAAATCATTTAATTTAATATTATTTTTTTTAAAAAAATCATTTAAAACAAAATATATCTATAGATTATTAATGACTATTACTACTGAACTAAATATTTTAATAAACATAATTTAAATATAAAATACTAAATTAATTGTTAATTTAATTAATTTTTATATATTATTATACTTGTTTATCATAATTTAATTAGAATATTGTTATGTTTTTAATTTATTGTTTTTAGTTTTTTTTAGTTTATGTGTGTGTATGTGTTTGTATGTGTGTATGTGTGTGTGTGTATGTGTGTGTGTGTATGTGTGTGTATGTGTGTAACTAAAAATTATTCAATGCTTTAAAATTTTAATTATTAAAAAAGTTATTAATTTTATACAACAATTTTTAAATTACTTATAAAAAATAAAATTAATATCTTTATAGTAAATAACTAGAATATATAGTGTGATATAGATTGTCCATAAAATCGGTGCCGTATTTTTGATATTGTTGTTGTTGTTTATTGAGAGTGTATAGCTTTATAGCCTCCTAATGTATAATCTAATGTATTTAACAACATATACAATGTTTTCAATTTAATCGACTGATCCGATATTTTCGACAATCTTTTATCATCATTTTCAAAACCACGTTTAGCGTCATCTAATATCTATCATATTTAGAATAATAATTAAATTCAATATTTTTTAATTTTAATTAATTTATTTTAAAAAAAAAATATATTTTAAATAAAAAATAAAATTACTAACCAATGTGTCCAATGGTATCCAAAATATATCTTGTTTATCAGCGTTGTTATCGTTTTTGATTTCTAATTGCATTTCCTGTAAAACTTCTTTACGTTTTTCGTCCAACAATTTTCCTAGGGTTGCCAAATCATTTTGATTTTGACGTTTGTAATTGTCTACAATATCTTCCATCGAACAATTTTGTTGGCTATTTACAAAATCCGTATAGTAATTAGTCCAAAAATCTGTCCACTGTGTTTCCACTATCATAAACTGGTGCCGTACTTTTGGATCTTCAACTTGATTGATAGCCGATACGCAACGTACCTAATGTTGGCAAAAAAAACAATTTGTAAATTAATAGAGAAATTTCTAGAAAGTTTCTAAAAAAATAGTTAATTTCTATCTATGTCATCCACATGTTAATTTTTTTGTAACTCGATATTAGCTATCTTATAACAATACAATTATTATTAGTATTTTAATTATTAAGTAATTAGTGTAAAATTATTTAATTAAAACTATTATAGACTATGATTTATATATAAAATAAAATGAGTTAAAAAAATTTAAACATTAAAAACTGATAAAAAATACTAGTATTACAATAACTTATAACAATTTATGGGAAACCCATAATAAATCTTTTAATTAAAATTTGTATATATAGAAATTTATTCATGAGAAATTTATCTAGGAAACTTTCTGATTGGGAAATTTAACTAGAAAATTACTAATTAACCCCTCAACTAATAAACATACCGTATCCTGAATGTCATACAGACAACTGCCCAGTTGTCTGACAGCCATATAGTCCAGGCCTTGTTGTTTCATCCATTTAGCATTCGTATTATACAATTGACATCTTTGTTGAACTAGTTTACCATTTTGTTTAATTAGCTGCTCATCGGTTTGTGATTCATATTTTAGGCCAATCTGGGTATAGTTTGGCGCTCCGGGCCATTGATCATTGCCTGGACAACTGGCATCTATACATTATATATATATGTATTTAAAATAATTTAAAATTAAAATAAAAATAGTGTATTAATAATAAATAATGTGTCTATATATGAAATAAATATGTATAGAATATATATGTCTATATATAATATAAATATCTATATAATAATCTATAAATTTATACCTAAATTGCCTATAATTGCCAAAACAATAGTCAAACTAATAGCTAATGAAAACATACTGTGTATATACAGTATTATAATTATTATTATATAATATAGTAGTTATTATTAATAATTATCTAAATAATATATTATTAAAATATATATCTATAACTAAACTAATTGTTCTACATTAGTTTTTATAGTTTTTTTAAAATTTTGATTTTTATTAAATCATTTCTTTAGTTTTGTAATATTAGTGATTTATGTAAAAAGTTTCCATAATAATAAATTTTGTAATATTATTTTAACAATAAATTTTTAAAAAAAATGATTTAATTAAAATTTAACTATATAAAATATTTACCTATACAACATATGATTATCAAAAATAAAATGTTTATTTAATAATAAATTTAACAAGTAGATGTGTAACATATATATATATATATATTTAATATATTAGTAAATAAATTGCTATAGATATATTATTTTTAAATATCTATTAAATATTATAATTAATTATTTAGATTAATTATATAGTCATAATTAAATTGAATTTAAATAAGTAATCTTAAAATAGTAATATATTTCACTAAAAAAAATTTGGCTATAATTTAATAAAATCATTGGAAATTAATAAAATTTTCTAAATATTTTTTTCTATTGGTTATAACTTTTTGTAAATTTTCTTTAATATTAATAAAAAAAATAAATAAAATTATTTTATACTAGTATAAGTTTAAAAATTTGTTTAAAGATAGTTTTATTATTATTAAGTTTTGTAATATTAGTGATTCTTAAAAACAAGTTTTGTAATATTATTTTAACTAAAATTTTAAAAAATGATTTTATTAAATTTTATCGATATAAAATTTTTACATATACATTATATGATTTTATAATAAAATGGTTTATTTAACTAAATTAACTAATATATATATATGTAATTTATAAATATATATATTTGATTATATATTAATTAATAAATTGCTATAGATAATTTTTTATTATTATTATTAAGTTTTGTGATATTGTTTTAGAAGTATTGCAAATAAAGCAATAAATTGTTTTGATACTAAAATTTAGATTTGTTTTTATAATGATTTTGTATTTAAATGTTTTATATTAATATTATTATAAATCATAGTAAAGATAATAAATATTTTTAAATAATAATTTAAATATAATAAATAATATTATTAATAAAAAACGTTTTATAAACACTTAAATATTTATTTTAAATATTTTATTTGCTATTTAAATTTAATTTACTTTATTGTGTGTATTTTTTAATAGTTTTAATTTATTTTAAAAATTAAAAACATAGACTAATATGTAAATTAAAATATAATAATATAATATAATATAATATATAACCGAAATATTATTAATTAGATTTATACCACTATAACTTTATAAAATATATATATAGCTATATAATGTATATACCTGTATATAATATATTTATAATAATATTAAATAATTATAAAATCCAAAATCTATGTAATAAATACCTAGATATAAAATATAATTTTAAAAAACTAAATAATAAATTAATTAAATTAATTAATAACCTTTTTGTCATATTTTACAAAAAATTTTACTTTTTTAAAGTTATATATAAATATATACAGTAGATCACTGATATAGATACTGTATATATAAATCAGATAATAATTATAATAAACTAGTAGAATATAGTTATAAATTATATTTAAAATTATAAATACACATCATAAAATATTTATTCAAATAAAATTAATCAATAAATATATAATTTATTTTATTTTTCTTATTTGTTATTAATTAATTAATAACTAGAAATTGTTAAAATATTCAACAAAAATGTTAAATGCTTTTATTGTTTTTATTGATAATTAAAAAAAAAATTTTAGTTTAATTACAACTTGTTAATTTAGAAATCGATTGAAAACAAAAAAAAATAAATAAAAAAAATTTAGTCATAGAAAATTAAAAAGATAATAAAATTTTAGAGTGATTGTAAGGGTGTCCAGATTAAATTTAAAAATTAGATTCCGGATTACTACTACTACTACTAGTTGTTCACACTATAGCATATTCAGCTTGTTGTTGTTGTTGTAGTTCAGTATAGCCACGTATATAATATTCTGTTTCCAATAACAAAATAATCAGTGTTCCCACTTTCACCTGATTGTCCTTTATTTTAGCTAATTGTTTGTCATCCACGCTATAGATTTGTTTTCTATCATCCAATGTCTAATTAAATTTAGAGGATAAAAATATTAAGATATAAAAATTCTATATATATATATCATAACGAATTATGAATAATAAAATTATTATAAATCACTAAACTATATATATATATAAAGATAAAGAATATACAATATAATTTTTTTAAATATAAAATATTTATAACTAAAATTAAAAATTAATTAATTTTTAACAAAAATTTGTCAAATATTATTAAAAAAATACCTGATATAGATATTCCTATAAACTATATATATATATATAGAATTTTTATTAATTAAATTACAACTAATAAAAATTAAATTAAATTAGAAATGTCAAAATCAAATGAAAAACCTGTTGGTCAAATTTTTTGAAAAATTTTGAATTTTTATCATTTGTATCCGTGTCCACTTGTTTTTGCATTTTGTCCAATACTTGATTACGTTTTTTATGCAACAATCCAATTAAACCATTTGTATACAATGATTGGGTATTCAAAATTTTCTGCAATTGTTCAATGGAACAATCCAATTGTTTGTTATCAGTCTCATGATAAAACCGGTTCCAGTAGTCAACCCATTGGGTCTGTGTAGACAACAACCAGTGTTTGTATTTCTGTTGATTTATCGGCAATTTTCCTATAGCTGTAACTATACGATTGCTTTCATCCCAATCCCGTTGACAACCGGCCCCCTGTCTCCTACCGGCCCAATTGAGGCCAGCTTTTTTCAAAAAATCCGAATCCGTTTTGTACAGTTTACATTTTTGCTTGAACACATTATCGATTTCATCTAACAGCTTTTTATCTATCAATTTGTTGTATGCTGTATTTAGATTCACCTGTTTGGGCCATGGATCATTTACTTGACAACCAGTAGCTAGAAAAATAAATTATTTGTGAAAAAATGGGAAAAAATAATTAAAAAAAATTATATTAGTAAACTAGTATATTTTAAATTATTATTATTTATAGTAGTAAACTAGTATATAAATTATTATTATTAATTATATTAGTAAACTAGTATATTAATTATTATTAATTATATTTAACTATAAATACTATAATGATAATTATTTGACAACCATTTGCTAGGAAATTAATTTAATGTGTGTGTGTGTGTGTGTTTGTGTGTGTGTGGGTGGGGGATAAAATTGTGAAAAATTAAAAAATTATAGTAAATTAGTATTTTAATTATTATTAATATTATTTACCCAATCCATTGATAATTGACAACAAAATAGCTAAACAACTAATATTAGCTAATATTTTGTTCATAATTCAATATTTAGTATCTAATCAACAATTTAAAACAATTGTATAATATATATATATATATGTATATAAATATATTAAATGTTAATTTTGATATAAATTCTAGTTCAGTATTTATACTTTTTTTTAAAACTACTAAAAAGTTGAAAAACAATTAATATAAAGTTTATACAAAAATTAGGAAATTTATTGTTAGATAATGATTTGCAATTATATGTAATTTTGTTGTAACTTTTAAAGTGAGTATATATTTGAATTTGTTATGTCCGTCCTAAATGTCTGTCCTAGTCAAACTGCAATTTTTTTTTAAAAAAAAGTTAAATAATAATAAAATAAGCTATTAGAATTCAATATCAAAATTGTACTATTACTTAAAAAAATGTCAAAAAAGTTAACTAAATTTCTAAAATTAAATATTTAAAATTTTTAAATAAATTAATATTTTATATATTTTAATGTCTAAAAAATTTATACTAATTCTTTAAAATTAAATAAATGTCTACATTAAAATTTTTTAATTTAAAAAAATAATTTTTTTTGCAAATAAATATCAAAATATAAATAATAAAGTTTAAGTTAAAAATTAAAAAAAACAATCCTTATTAAAATTTATTTTTAAAAAATAAATAAATTTAAGATATCTATATAACTAAAATTTCTAATATATATATAAGAAATAAATTATTTCTAAATTTTATAGATATTTTTTTTTAATAATATCTTTTCGAGAAGTTACTTTTAAAAATGTTTGTTATGTTTTTTTTTGTTTTTTTTAATAAAAATTTCCTATTTCTTAGTTTTGTAATATAGTTTTTTTCTTAACAAATAGTTAAACAAAGATATAACTTAATTACAATTAAAATTTATGACTACTTACTAAAAATTTTCCGATTTTTTTAAATACAAAAAAACTGATTTACAAAATTACTAAATAAACAATAATATAGTAGAAACTTATATATATATTTGTTAATATATTAAAATATAAATTGCTATTTATTATATTAATTTTAATTGATTTTTTTTTTAAATATTAAATACTGTATATTATGATTAATTATTTATATAAAATATATAAATATAATTAAATTTTGTTTAATTAAATATGAAAAATTTTATTCATTACTTTGCTATCAATAAACATTATAAAGTTATTAATATTGATAATTATATAGTGATATTATAATTAAATTTAATTTAAATAATTTTAAAATAGTAATATATTTCTCAGATAAAAAAATAACTATTAAATAATAAAAATTCTTACTAAATAATATAATTTTAATATTAATGTATTAAAAATTAAATACTGTATGCAGTATATACTTTATAATTATTTTGTAATAATATTTGTTTTCTTTAAAAACGTTGTATTATTTTTAAGTTTTGTAATATTGTTTTAAGCAGTATTGCAAATAAAACAATAAATTGTTTTGAAATAAAATAGTGATTTGTTTTTAAAATGATTATGTATTTTATAACTAATTATTATTATTATTATTATACATAATAAGTTATTACAAATTTTTAAACAAACAAAATTTAAAAACTAGTAATTTAAATAATTAATAATAATAATAATAAACTTTTAATAAACACTTAAATATTTATTTTAAAAATAATTTGTTAATTAAATTAAATTTACTTTAACGTGAGTAATATTTTTTTAGTAATTTAAGTATATACTCTAGACTTATTACAAATAAATTAAATATTAATAATTATAATAATAATAGGTATAGTTATTAAATAATATCTAAAATTTTACCTATAGATTAAAAATTATTATTTTTTATTATTTTTAAACAATAACTATTTAGAATTAAAATTTTATATATTTATTAAATAGTATCAAAATATATAGTTAAATAGTAAATTAGAAAAAAACATAACAATACTTTTAAACTTTTTATTATTATTAGAAAAATAAATATTTTTATTACAAAAAAATGTTAGAATTTAGAATTATCTAGATAATACTAAAAAGAATTAATTAATAATATACAAAATTAATTAACTTGAAAAATAATTTAAATAAAATGAGAAAATTTAGAATAATTAATATATATATATATATACTATATTTAATAGTGTGATCGGGTGTCCATTAATATTAAGCCGGTTTGTCCAGGTTATTTTATACACCTTTTAAAACATAATCATCTTGTTGTTGTTGTTCATCATTAAGTAGAATACTATAGCCACGTATATAATATTCTGATTCCAGTAACAAAATAATCAGTGTTCCCACTTTCACCTGATTATCCTGTATTTTAGCCAATTGTTTGTCATCCACGCTATAGATTTGTTTTATATCATCCAATGTCTTATATAATTTAGAGGATGAAAAAAATATAATTAAAAATTCTATTTATAAATAAATAAATATATATATATATATATATATATATCATAACTAATTATTAATAATAAAATTATAATAAATCACTAACTAAATATGTATATATATATATCATTTTTGTTTATCAAAATTATAACTTAAAAAATGCTATAAAATTAGAAATTAAAAATCAAATCAAAAACCTGTTGGTCAAATTTTTTGAAAAATTTTGAATTTTTATCATTTGTATCGTTGTCCACTTGTTTTTGCATTTTGGCCAACACTTGATTACGTTTTTTCTGCAACAATTCAATCAAACCATTCGAATCCAATGATTGGGTATTCAAAATCTGCTGCAATTGTTCAATCGAACAATCCAATTGTTTGTTATCAGTTTCATGATAAAAGCGGTTCCAGTAGTCAACCCATTGGGTCTGTGTAACCAATAGCCAGTGTTTGTTTTTCTGGAATTTCGGCAATTTTTCAATAGCTTTAACTATCCGATTGCTTTCATCCCAATCCCGTTGACAACCGGCCGCCTGCCGACTACCGGCCCACTCTAGGCCAGCTTTTTTCAAAAAATCCGAATCCTTTTTGTATAGTTTACATTTTTGCTTGAACACTTTATCGATTTCATCAAGCAGTTTTTTATCCGTCCATGTCAGATAGGCTTGATTTAGTTTCAATTGTTTAGGCCATGGATCATTTACTTGACAACCACTAGCTATATTAGTATATATATATAAATATAAATATAGAAAAAAATAATTATTAAATAATTTAAATTAAAAAAAATTATAAAATTTATAAAAATAAAATCAAAATAAAAACATATATAAATTTCATTAGTAAACCTATTGATTGAACTAGTAATCTAAAAATTATATATATATTTATAGTATTTAAATTATACTAATAAACTTAAATTTTAGTTTATTAAGTAATTTTAGTAGCTAATATAAAATTTTAGTAAACTAGCAAATTTTATTTATTATTATTATTATTATTAATGTTTACCCAATCCATTAATAATTGTTAACAAAATAGCTAAACAACTAATAGCTAGTATTTTATTCATAATTATATTCAATACAATATACAGTATATAATAAATAAGTTCAGTATTTATACTTTTTTTCTGTAGTCAAATATCTATAAAAAAAATTTTTATATATATTTAAACATATTTATACTAAAATTATGAAATTAATAAAACTGATTTGTAATTATATATGAAATTTTATACTAACTTCTAAAATAAATATATATATATCTGAATTTGTTTTATATGTTTGTATATGTCTATAATCATCAAAATATAAATTTTAAAATTTTGATTTAAAATTATCATTAATAAAAAAATTATAAATAAATTAAGTTATTATAGTTCAATATCTAAATTGTGTAAAAATAGTGAACAAAATTAATAAAAAAAAATTGAATTAAATGCTTAAGGTTAGGTTAGGTTAGGTTAGGTTAGGTTAGGTTAGGTTAGGTTAGGTTAGGTTAGGTTAGGTTAGGTTAGGTTAGGTTAGGTTAGGTTAGGTTAGGTTTTGATTACAATTTCAAATTTTTATTTTCTATATTCTATATTTTTTTTAATTTCTAATAATAATTTGATAATAATAATAATCTGATTTTTTTTAATTTTATAGTTAATTTCAATTTAATTTTTTAGTTATACTTTGTGTCGTTGAATTTTATTTGAAAATGCTTGTCATTATTATCAACTTTTGTTTTTCTAAAAATCTTCCGATTTATTAATTTTGTAATATAGTTTATTAGCAAATAATTAATCAATGATTTGTCAAAAAAATGAAACTAAAATTTTCCGTTATTTTATTATTAACAAAAAATGCTTATTTCATTAAATTACTAAACAAACACTAAAAAAACTAAATAGATTTTAGAATAACATTTAAATTTGAAAATAATTTTTATTATTTATTTTTGAATTAAAATAATTAATACACACACACATACTGTACATTTACACATTTACATTCAGTACATATAGACACCTAAAATTATTAAATTTATTACAATTACATATTTATTTTAAATATATAATTATTATTAAATTTAACAAAAAAAAATTATATGCATTACTTTATTATCAACAAACATTATAGAGTTATCAATTCTGATAATTATATAAATATTGTTAATTAAATATAATTTAAATTTTCAATCTAAAAAATAGTAATATATTTTACTACAAAAAATTTTAGCTGTAATTGAATAATCAATAGAAATCAATTAAATTTGTTTATGTATTAAATGATATAACTATTAGTTAGAAATTAATTGATTATTTTGTAATATTTGTTTTGATTGTAATTAAGTTTTGTAATATTATTTCAGCAGTAATGCAAACTAAAAAATTTTTATGGTGGGTTAATTAATTGATTTAATTGTAAAAAGAAATTAATTATTCGTAAACAAAACAAAATAAATATACTTTATATTTTTAATTAAAAAAAATTTTAATCTAAAATTTATATGTAAATTTCTATCTAATTTAAAATGTTAGTTTCTAAACTAAAAATTCAATTTATATTGATTGTATATATATGTATATATATATTATTTAAATATAATTAAAAATAAATTAAATATAAATATTATTAAATATAAAATAAACCTACACCCACACATTAAAATAAATATATAGGTATAATAAAGCCAATAAAGCTATCACCTCTATTCATAAAAGTTCAAAGTTATAGTTGATAAAAAAATTTTAATATTTATAAATTATTTATTGTATTTTAATGTTTATGTTGTAAAAACATTTGGAAAACAAGGCTCAGGCTTAGTAACACAGGTTTTAATTTATATTATATATTAATAATTAAAAATTATTAATTATAAAAAATTCTACTCTAAAAATAAATTGTATTAGACATATATTTTAAATTTAGTTTTTAATGCTTTTAATAATTTTATTTTAATAAAGAAATAAGTTTGAAAAAAATACAGATAATTTTAATACTATTAGTTATTGCTAACCAAAGCGTTCAAACTTTTATAGCCACGAATAAAAAATTCGGTTTCAATTATCAAAATATTCAGTGTTCCCACTTTAACAGTTTGATCCGTTATTTCAGCAATTTTTTTGTCATCCATCGAAAACTTTTGTTTTGTATCATCTAATGTCTAATGTAATTAAGAATATTATTTAATTTTTAAAAAATTAATATCTAAAATAGTTTATAATAATAATTTTTTTTCTATGTATATCTATATATGTATATCTAAGTGTAATCATAATAATAAAAATAAGGCGTTCTTCACATATTACGTTCGCATTTGATTAGACGAGGGGGGGGGTTAGCCAAAGCAAACAATTGCGAACGTGGGGGATGGGAGGGGTAGAGACTTTAAGAACGTTCGCATTTAGATAATATACGCACTTCTTGATGAGGGGGGTAGAGGAGTAGCGGTTAGGGATAAGCGCGAACGTAATTTTATTTAGTAAAGAATACATGCGAACATAGGGGAGGGAGGAGACGGGGGGGGTCTAGATTTCTTTAAAAATGCGAACGTCGTAAATGTGAACCACGCCTTTTATGTCCCAAACCTTTTTGTCAATAAATTGCCAAAGTTTTTGATCCATTTGTTTCGCATCTTTGTCTAACCATTTTTGCATTCCAGCCAACACTTGCTTACGATTTTTGTTCAAAAATTTTTCCAAATCATTGACCCGAAGTTTACGGGTATTCAAAATTGTTTCGACCATTTTGACTGAACAATCCGATTGGCGTTTATTAACATCAGTATAATATTGTTGCCAATAATCGGTCCATTTTGTCTGATCAACCAAATATCTGTGTTTATCGTTTTCTGGTAAATCACTGATTGCTTGAATAATCCATGTATTTGAATCCCTATCATACTGGCAATTGGCTACTGGTCTCTGGGCTAACCAATCAAAACCTTTCAAAATCTTTTTCAACCGATTACTATACTGACTATACAATTGACATTTTCGATTCAGTAGTCTATCTAATTGATCGGTTAGCTGTTTATCAGACCATTGTTTGTATTGGCTATTAAATTTCGGTGTTTTTGGCCATGGATCATTTATTTTACAACCACCAACTATAGTATTATTATAATAACATAGAAATAACAATAATAATATTAGTAATAATATTAGTAATAATAATAGTAATAATATTAGTAATAATATTAGTAATAATAATAGTAATAATATTAGTAATAATAATAGTAATAATAATAGTAATAATATTAGTAATAATAATAGTAATAATAATAGTAATAATAATAGTAATAATATTAGTAATAATAATAATAATAATAGTAATAATAATAGTAATAATAATAGTAATAATAATAGTAATAATAATAGTAATAATAATAGTAATAATAATAGTAATAATAATAGTAATAATAATAGTAATAATAATAGTAATAATAATAGTAATAATAATAGTAATAATAATAGTAATAATATTAGTAATAATAATAGTAATAATAATAGTAATAATAATAGTAATAATAATAGTAATAATAATAGTAATAATAATAGTAATAATAATAGTAATAATAATAGTAATAATAATAGTAATAATAATAGTAATAATAATAGTAATAATAATAGTAGTAATAATAATAAAATATTAAATAATATAAAATAATTGTTTTTAAAATTAATGTAATATATAGTAGAATTCTTATAATTATAATTCATTATTAATTAGTACATAATATATATTTACCCAAAACATTGATAATTATCAAAACAATAGCTATAATACTGATAGTAAACTTCATAGTTATTATAGTTTTTGATTAATTTTTGTTATACTGATAATTGATATATTAATTAATTTAAATTTTACATTTCAAATAAATTCTATATAATTTTATTTTCAGTATTTATAGTTTATTTTAACAATCATAAAAAAATTTTTAAACAACTGTTTACTTAATAATTATAAGTAATTTGATGTGTAATTATTGATTACATAAAATTTTCAGAAAATATTTACTTATTTGAGTTTTTTTTGTTATTTCTGTGACTGATTTGTTTTTAAATAATTAAAACTAAGATTTTATTTACATTTATTTTTAAAATTTAATTTAGCAATGTATATTAAATTAATAAAATTATTATTTTTAAAAAACTTCATTTAAGTCAATTAAATATAATTAGTTATTATAATATTATTAATTGTAAACTATTATTTAAATCAATTAATTATGTTTAAAAAATACAATTAAAATTATGTCTGTAATCCTATTATTCATAAAAAATAAAAGTAACAAAAAATTAATTTTTATATACCTGTACAGTATATTAAGTTATTACTACTGTATTATTATTACAATATTTTATTACACATTAAAAATTACAAAATTATTTTTTTTTATTTGTTTGTTGATTAATATTTGCTTCAATTATTTAGTAATATATTTTAGTTTCTTTTTTTTCAAAATTATAATGTTATTAAACTAACTAAAAATATATATATTTAATTATAATATATAATTTATTTTAAAAAATAAATTATTTTAACTTTAGGTGTAGGTCTAGGTAAAGATGTAGTAAAATAATTGTTTTAATATAAGTCTAGAATACAATATAATTACAAAACATTTTTCAAATAACATTTCAAATAATATTAGATTTAATTTGATAAAAAAAACGTAAATAATTTGTTGTATAATTAGTGTTAATTTAATAAAATATTATTTTTACATTTCTGTTAATTGTCAGTAAACATTTATAAACTTAAATAATATTTTTTAAAAATCTAAAAATTGATTAAATGTTGGTTAATGCAAATAAATATATATTAAAAATATTATTGAATGTTTTAAAAAAATTATTATAAAAAAGATATATACAATTATTTTATTAAGTTTTCATTAAATATAATTTTATTTAAAAAATAAATTAATAATAAATAAATTTGACATAAATAACTAGAATATATATATATATATAGTGTGATCAGATTGTCCTAAGAATTGGTGCCGGATTTTTGTTATTCCGAATGTTTAGCTTTATAACCGCGTAGTGTATAGTCTAACGTATTTAACAACATATAAATTGTTTTCAATTTAATCGATTGATCCGATATTTTTGACAATTGTTTATCATCAATTTCGAAACCACGTTTTGTTTCATCTAATGTCTATAACATATATTTTATTTTCAATAATAATAATAATTAAATTTTAAATTTTAAATTTTAAATTTTAAGTTTTAAATTTTAAATTAATAAATAAACTTACTAACCATTGTGTCGAATGGTATCCAAAATAGATCTTGTTGATGTATGTTAGCTTTATCGATTTCTATTTGCATTTCCTGTAAAACTTGTCGACGTTTAATGGCCAGAATTTTTTCCATAGTAGCTAGATCATTTTTATTTGAATTGTAATATTTTTCAATATCCTCCCACGAACAATTCATCTGGCTTAATTGCCAATTTTTTAAGTAGATTGTCCAAAAATCTATCCATTGTATTACAACAAGCATATACTGGTGCCTGAGTATTGGATTTTTGACTTGATTGATAGGCGATACAGTACGTTTCTAAAAAAATTAATTTCTATCTATATCATCCTCATCATACATATTAGCTATTAGATAACAATGCGTTAAATATTATTATTTAAACTATAATAAACTATGACATATATATATATATATATCAAAATGAATAAAAAAAATTTAAATAAAAATACTGGTATTACATATTATCTATAGATATGGGAAACTCATTGTAAAAATCATTAAAGTAAAATTTTTTATATAGAAATTTAATCATGAGAAGTTTATCTAATAAACTTTCTCATGGGAAATTTATCTAGGAAACTTTCTTATGGAAAGTTAATATAGGAAACTTTGTAATAAAATATTTATCTAGAAAACTTTTTTATTGAAAATTTATTTAGGAAACTTTCTCATGGTAAATTTATCTAGGAAACTCATGTGGAAATTTTTTTATAGAAATCTTTCTATTTGCCCCTAAAACAAAATCATGATATATATATATATATATATATAGAATAAAATAAATAATTTTTTTAAATATTAATAAAAAATACTGGTAATTATAATAACTGTAGATATAGGAAATCCATAGTAAAACATTTAATTAAAATTTTTATATATAGAAATTTATACATGAGAAATTTATCTAGAAAATTTATCTAGAAAATTTCTATTTGTCATAATGACTAAATACTAAACGTACCGTATCCTGTATGTCATAAAAACAATTGTCCAGTTTTCTGTCAGCCATATAGTCAAGGCCTTGTTGTTTCATCCATTTAGCTGTCGTATTATACAATTGACATTTTTGTTGAACTAGTTTAACCATTTGTTTAATTAGCTGCTGATCGCTAGTGAATAAGTATTTTAGACCAATTAGGTTATAGTTTGGCGGTCGAGGCCATTGACAACTGGCATCTATAAAAATTAAATATATATATATATAATTGTGTTTAAATTAATTTAAATATCTATATAATATAATTATCAATATAATTTAAATATCTATATAATATAATTATCAATATAATTTAAATATCTATATAACTTAAATAACTATATAATATAAATATAAATATAAATATAAATATCTATATAATATAAATATTTTTATAATATATATATATATATAATAAAAATAACTATAAAATAATTAATATCAATATATAATATAAATATTAGATTATAATCAAAAAATATATAATTAATTTATAATTTATACCTAAATCGCCACTAATTGCCAAAACAATTGTGAAACTAATAATTAATGAAAACATACTGTTATTTTAATTCTGATAAATATTCTACATTAATTTTTATAGTTTTTTTAAAAATTTTTTTTTATTATTTAGTTTAAAAAATATAAAGCTGTAATTGATTTAATAGCTTTTCAATGTCATGGCATTGCATTGCAAAAACGCAAATCTATGCGTAAACAAAAAAAATTCCAACAATGAAATATAATTACATTTTAATATTTTTTTATATTGAAGACAAGGCTTAAACTAAAATATATTGTAAAATTTTATTTTCTTTTTAATGAATATTTAGTTTTACGATTATTTCAAATGCAATGTTTTATTTTATTTATCATTTCAATTATAAAATGAATTTATAAAAGCACTGAAATATTAAGACTGAAAAACTAAAGATTAACACCTTGTTTTTATTAAAGCTTTATTATGTTTTTATTTAATATTGCAGTATTAAAATAATGATAAAGAAATATTATACTAAAAAGTGAATAGTAAAATTACACTTTTTAATTATTATTAAAACTGACTCAATTTGAGACACTTTTATCTCACGTACGTTTTAGTATAAATAGTGATGTCTATCACTTACCAAAATCAGTACTGCACTTAGAGTCATACATTGTGTATTACTTTTTAGTGAATTAATAAAAAACATTTGCATATTACTTAGTGTGTGTTTACTCTATAATCACTGACCAACCGTATGGACATCTTAAGGGATGCCTTCAGAGTCATCCATAACCACGCAGACAATAGACAACTACTTCGAAAGTTAATGTTTTTATTATGACTACTCCGGACACTTATTCGTAAACTGAAGACTCTTAGTATACTTCTTTAGTATGACCGATAGAAACGGTCCTTGTAAGCCTACGGTCCTTGTAGGCCCACGGTCCTTGTAGGCCCACGGTCCTTGTAGGTCCATGTACCTTCCAGGCCCACAGGTCTGAACCCAGGATGGTTTTTTAAACAATGGATGGTTTTGAAACAATGGATGGTTTTGAAACAATGGATGGTTTTGAAACAATGGATGGTTTTTAAACAATGGATGTTTTTGAAACATAGGATGGTTTTCAAACAATGGATGCATTTGAAACAATTGATGGTTCTGAAATCCTTGATGGGTGCCAGACCCTAGATGGGTGACAGTCCCTAGATTGGTGCCAGATACTAGATGGGTGCCTGAAATGAAGGGACCGAGACAACTATCGGGTGCCTAACATAGAATTACTTAGATTTAATAGGAAAACCGCTCGTCCCTAAGCCAGCCATTACAATAAGTTATCACTAAAAAAAAGTCATAACCGTAAGGTAAGTGGTGTATTGACTGAGTGTTTGGTTTACATAAGTAGGCTTTAAATATGCTTAGATAACTGTAATACCCCCCCCCACTTCCCCTACAATATATATTAAATCATTTTTGTTTTGTTTTGTAATATTAGTGATTTTTGTAAAATGTTTTCATAAGAAAAAATTTTGTAATATTATTCTATCAACTTAAATTTTTTTTTATTAACTTTGATTTGATTAAAATTTAAGTATATAAAATTTTACCTTTACACTATATGATTTTCTAGTTTTTTTATTTACGTAAATTAACAAGTAGATGTTTGCAAATAAATTCCTATAGATAATATTATTTAGAAAAATTTTAATTAATTATTTATATTAAATATATGATTATAATTAATTAAATATTAAAATTTTATGCATTACTTAAATAGTTAAAAAGTTATTACAGTAGTATTGATAATTATTTAGATACAGTATTATAATTTAATTTTCAATAAATAATATTAAAATAGTAATATTTTTGACTAAAAATTAAACTTAATTTATAAATTACTTAAATATCAATTTATTTATTACAAAATTAAATAAATATTTGCAATCTAACTATATTATTAATATATAAAAAATTAAATACTGTATTTTTTAATAATTTATTTTTTAATAAAAAAGGTTTTATTATTATTAAGTTTTGTAATATTGTTTTAAGCAGTTTTGCAAATAAAACAATAAATTGTTTTTTGAAATGAAAATTTTGATTTGTTTTATTAAAATGATTATGTATTTTTAAATATCTTATTTATATTATTATACATCAAATTTTTAAATTTTAAAAACCAACAAAATTTATATACTACTATCTTATTTGATTTAATTAAAAAAAAACTAAAGTTAAKTATATMACTTAACATAATAAATAATTCACTTACATAAATATATACTACTGTATATATATACAGTATATATATATATAGAAAACTTAAAATATGTAAATTTTTTATTAACAAATTATTTTAGTCTAAGATTTATATTGAAAACTAATAGCTAAAAAAATTAGATATATTTCTATCTAATTACAAATATTTTTAATACAAATATATATATATATATATATAGTATATAAACCTACTATATATATTAAATAATAATTTAATATTAATAGTAGAATACAAATACTAATAATAATTAATTAGTATATAATATATAAATATATATTTACCCAAAAACCATTAATAATTGACAAAATAAATAGCTATAATACTTATTGAATTTCCAATAATTGAAACTTCATAGTTTTTTTTAAATAGTTTATTATATTTTAATTTTAATACTAATAATAAATATAAATGTAAATTTTATACATCTAGATTTTTATAATTTATTGAGTATATTTATATAATATTTTTATAATAATTTTTTTTTTTGAATATATATTATAACTAATATTATTCAAATAAATCATTTACACACAACACTACATAACATAACATAATTATTATAATTAGTTATTAATAAAAATATGTAATATAATGTAACTTAAATTATAAATATTTAAAAATTAAATTAACCCTGATTAATAATTTTATAAAACACACACACACAATTAAAATTCAAAATTAAAATTAAATGACAAAATTAAATCATCATGATGCTAAACTCTTCAATCAATATCTGTATTGTTTGTGTTTTAATTATGCCACTGGCCATTTGATCTAGGTCATTGTTAATTTGTTTAAATATATCAGCAATTAATTGATGTAACTATAGATATAAATATAAAATAAAATAATAAATAACAAACAAAAATACATATATAGATATAGATATTAACTAGTTGCTAAAACAAAATTTTTAATAATTTTAAAACAAACAATAAATAACATAAAATAATTTTTTAACATGTTAGAATTATTGTTACCAGTGTATCAAAATAGTTAACATTTTAAAAATATAATAATAATTATAATAATAATATACTTAAAATAAAATTAAAAACAAATAAAAGAAACTTACTAATTAATTAATTAATTAATAATTTTTACCTGCATACATTATTACTAGTAGTTTAGAAATTAATTAATTTACTAATTTATACATTGATAATAATAATAATAATATTTTAAATAATAATAATAATATTTTAAATAATAATAATATTTTAAATAATAATAATATTTTAAAAAATAATAATAATATTTTAAATAATAATAATAATATTTTAAATAATAATAATAATATTTTAAATAATAATAATAATATTTTAAATAATAATAATAATATTTTAAATAATAATAATATTTTAAATAATAATAATATTTTAAATAATAATAATAATATTTTAAATAATAATAATAATATTTTAAATAATAATAATAATATTTTAAATAATAATAATAATATTTTAAATAATAATAATAATATTTTAAATAATAATAATAATATTTTAAATAATAATAATAATATTTTAAATAATAATAATAATATTTTAAATAATAATAATATTTTAAATAATAAAAATAATAAATTAATTTAAACTATATACCTGTTTATGAACGTCACCGTAAAATATGTTACCCTTTTTCTGTACATAATCCCCGGCCCAGACAACTCTGGCCAATATATCTCGTTGTAAATCGGAAAACTTGGCCAACAATACGGGTTCATCCGCTACCCGGACAGTTGTTAACCGATTTTTTCGGCGGACATCCAATTTCTGGGCCACAAACCTATACTCTTCACCGGACGCACCGATAGCGTAGTAATTCATACGGCGTTGGCGGTCATCATCGCCCGCCGCCGATGACTGGCCATCGATAGCCCCGTAGGCCACGACTAGCCGATCGTTGGCCAACTGGATAAGCCGATCGTATACCTTTCCCATATAATCGATACCCTGGGCCTTATATTTGAGGCCCTGTAGGCGCATCATAGTCTGTAGCACCTGTATGTTTGTTTCGATAATAGGCAGCATTTGATCGACAGTCAACTGTTCCCATAGTTTACTAGTTTTACGCCGGAAATCAAATTTATCTTGAGTTTCATCCGACGGAACTGTGTTTTTAATTTTTAGATTAAAATTTTGTATAAAAATTTTTACAATTAATTGATTTATATAAATAAATTAATATTTAAAAAAAATAAATTAAATTAATATTTTTATAAATTTTGTTTTTTTTTTAAATTATTTGTTTATTGATTAATAATATTTGCTTCAATTATTTAGTATTATATTTTAGTTTTTTTTTCAATGAAAAAAAAAATTTTAATAAAATAATTAAAGCAATAAATGATTTAATTATAATTATAAAAATTTATTTTTAAAAATAAAATTATCATAATCATAATTATTAAAAATTAATAGCAGCATATTAATAGTTATTTTTAATTTTTTTACAAAATTAATAAATTATATTTTTTTTAAATAGCATAATTATAAACTTAATTTTTTTTTAAAATTTTACTTACAATAATGTTTATTGTTCCAGTCACTTTTATTATAATTTAATTTAGTTGACAAGTGTAATTTTAATTTACTATTATTATTATTAGTGTCAAATTTTATATTGTTATTAAAATTTAACTTGCTAATTAGGTATTTACAAACACTTAATGTTGATATAAAAATTGCAACTAGCTCAATATAAGAATGCATATTTTTTAATTAAATAAAAAATGATGTTTAAATTTAATAATTAAAAATATAACTATTTATTATATTGTTTTTATTTCCTATTTTTTTGAAAAAAAATTATTATTTATTACTTAATTGCCAAACAAAAAATTGTACTTTATACTATTTTTTGATTTTTATCTTGATCAATTAATCTTATTTGTGGAAATTTTTTGTTTTTGCCTATTAAGCAATATATATATAACAAATAATAACTGTATTATAATTTTTTAGATAATTTTATTAAAAAAACAAAATAAAATAAAGTAATGGAATAATTTTCTTGGAATTATTATTTTATTTTTTAAATATTATTTATCAAACATTATATAATTACTATATCTTTATTTTTTTTTTAAAAATGTTTGTTTATTATATAAAAAAATTTATCACATTTTTTTATTCAATGACAAAAATAATATTTATTATTAATAATACTCTTATTATTTAATTGAGTAAATAAAGGCTTTAATGATATTTTTGTTATTATATGTGATTATAGTATTAAAAAAATATCTGATAAATAAAAATTACTAAAACTTTAATCTAAATTATATAAATTTAATAAAAACTAAACAATAACAATAAATTATATTTTCTAAAGTCAAAGTTTGAATATTATTATTTTATTTAGATTTTAGTATTAAGTATTTTGAATTAAATATTATAAATATGGATATTTTGATTTTTTATTATTTAAGTACTTAAAGTATATTAAAGTTTCTAATAAAATAGTGAATATATTAATTAAAAAATAAAATAAAATAAAAAGTTTTATAATTTTGTAAGTTTTTTTTTGCAATAGCTTATTTTGAATTAACTACAATAACAACAAAAAATTACATTTAAAAATAAACAACTAATTTTTTTTAGAGAAAATATAATTAATTTATATGTAAATTAAAAATTTTGAAAAAAATAAAAATCAATTACATTATAGATAAATATTTAATTAATACAAATTTTATTTAATTAATACAAATTTTATTTAATTAATACAAATTTTATTTAATTAATACAAATTTTATTTAATTAATACAAATTTTATTTAATTGATACAAATTTTATTTAATTAATACAAATTTTATTTAATTAATACATATTTTATTTAGTATTTAATAACAACAAATATAAGTTAAAATAATACTATACATAATTTATTTTAATTTGTCTTTATTAAATTTTATATTTTTCAAAAAATAAAATAAAACATATTGTAATATAAAAATTTTCCTAATAATTAAATACTTTAGCTAGTTAATAAACTAATAATAATAATAATAATAATAATAATAATAAACTAGATTAACAGTAAGCTTAAATCTTCAATAAGCACTTGTATTGTTTTAGTTTTAATATCGCCACTTGGTATTTCAGCTAGATCATTGTTAATCAAATTGAATTCATCTTGCATCATTTCGTGAAACTATATACAAATATAATACAAATTAAAATTATTATTATTTTAATAATTACAAAATTAATAGTTGTATTTATGTTTTTTTTATTATTATTATTTCTATAATTCTATATTTCTATTATTCATATAATTTATTTATATGACATTAATTAATACAATTAATAAAGATAGTCTATATATATATATATATATATATACCGGTATATAAAAAATAAATTATCTAATGTGGGTTACAATAAATAGTGGGTGAGTAAATGAGTGAGTGAGAGAGATAAGAGAGAGAAAGAGAGAATAAAATATGAATTATTTCACATAATTATTAAAAACAACACTAAAAATCTCTCTAATAATAATAAATAATCACTCACTCACTCACTCACTCACTCACACACACACACCCACACACACTCACACACTCACTCACACACACACTCACACACACACACACTCACATACACACACACTCACTCACTCACACACACACACACTGTCTATATATTCATTAGCAGCTCATATATACCTGAATATGTAATGATCCCCAAAACGAGTCGCCTTTATGACGGATATAATCGGATGCCCATAAAATATTAGCCAACAATTGCTTCTGTAGTCCCATCAGTTCCCGATTCAGCTCCTGTTCCGTACCCCTAACTACTTGTACAGCATTTTTACGTTTGATATCCAATTTTTGACCCAGGTATCTATATTCGGAAAATGATACGCCCATCATACAATAGTTTAGATGCCGGTTATCTACAGTATTATCAGCAGCATTGGGCTTCTGTATGTCCAACAGTTGCCAGGCCAGGGGTACCAGTGTACGGGATTTATGGATAAATCGTTGATAAAATTGGTCGATATAGTCCAGGCCTTGGAACCGGTATTTCATTGACTGTAGTTCCATCATTGAATAAAGTACGTCCAAATTGCCCAGGGTCAACTGTTTGATTTCATCAATCGTACGGTTCTTCCATAAATTACGATAGGTTTTCCAACGATAGTCGAATTTATCAAGTGTTTCGGGGTTTTTAACTTTTTTTTAAATTATTTTTTTAATAAAAAAAATAAATATAAATAATGATAAGTTTTATTATTATTATTTTTATATTTTTAAAAATTTAATTTTATATTTATAAAAAAATAATGTTATTTTTATCTATTATATTAAAAATTTTATTATAGTATAACTTAAAATATTATTCTAAGCTAATAATTTTTATTATTTTACATTTTTTGCATATTATTTTTTGAATTAATTATTTATACAGTAATTTTAATTACTATTTTAAGTTAATAATTATTACAGTTTTTATTTTGTAATATTAAAAAATTATTTATACTGTAATAAATAACATTATACTATAACTACTAAAAAATAATTAAATGTAGTATAATTATTATTTTTAAAATAATTTTTAATTTTTAATATTTAAAAAAAATTATTACTTACAATCACTGTCATCATATTTTAATTTATTAAATTTCCAAAATAATAATTTTTGTAATTTAAATTTTGTTGACACAAATTTTAAAACAGTTAATATGGCAATAATCGTAACAATTATTCTAACAATAAAAATAATAATCATATTTTTAAAATAATAATAAATAATTTTTAATATTATTTAAAATAAACAATTAAAAAATTAACAATTATTAGTATATAATTTTACTTTTTATTTTTACTAAAAAATATAAACTACAAATAATATATAAATAAATTTTTAATTTTAACTTTTATAAAAGTTTATTTATATACAGTTTATATATACACTGTATTATAACTGTCATAAAAAATCATTGATTTATTAATCCATTAGTTATAAAACAACATCTAAAAACTATAGATAAATATATATAAAAATAGATATTTTTTAGTATAAAATAATAACATTTTGCAATATATGAACTCAAAAATATCTTTGAAACAAATGTCCTTAAAATATAATAAAAAACTAATTTTATTATTATTATTAAACATTATTAAATTTAAATAAACTTTATATTTTTAAATAATTGTTGTTTTTTTTATTTATTTAAAACTTGTTATAATTATAAAAATAAAAATAACTAAGCAATTAAATTAGATAAATTTAGTATAGTTAAATTTATTTTATAAATATTGTTTTTAATAATTGTGCTAGTTAATTATTACAACAACAAAAAATAAATAACTAACAATATTAGCTATTATTTAGTTAAATATTAATTATAGAAAATAATATAAACTAATATTTTTTAGTATTTTAATTATAAATTAAATTATATATTGAATATTATTATAATTATACTTTACTATAAATTTTACTTTAAACAATGTAGTATAATAAATAAATTAAACTAAAATTATTAATCTAGAAAAAAAATTATTTACTATAATTAATATTTTACTAACTAATAGATAACTAATTGTTAGTAAATTTTTTTGTAATAATTAACTAGCACAATAATTAAAAACAATATTTATATAATTAATTTAGCTATAATAAGTTTTTATCTAATTTAATTGTTTAGTAACTTTTTATTTTTATAATTATAACAAGTTTTAATAAGTAAATATAAAAAAACAACAATTAATAAATATATAAAATATATACTGTATATACAAAAATCTCAAAATAATCGTTTGTTTTATTTTTAATAAATAAACATATAGTTATTTATATATATATGTATATATTTAAAACTTTTAGTCAAATAGTAAATAACTAATTATTAATACTATTAAAATTAATCTACTTATTAAAAAAATTGTAAAACTTAATAATTTACAGTTTCAAAAAAAATTAATTATTTATTATAATTAATTATTAGTATCTAAACAAATAGTTAAATCAAAAATATTATTAATAATAATAATTAGTAGTATTTCTAATAAATAATAGTTTTTTTTAATAAATAGTAGTTTTTCTAATAAATAATATAATTTTTCTTATAAATAATATGATTTCATAATATTAATTATTATGAAATCTATTATTAGACTATTATTATTAAATAAATAAAAAATTACTCATTTATTACATGAGAAAATTTTATAATAAGTTTTATAATCAAATTGAATACATATTATTAGATATCAATCGCTTTTGTACTAAACATTTAATTAATTAATTATTAATTAAACGTTAAGTAATTTATTTTGATAACAATTATTTAACAATTAATTTTTATTAAGTAGTTTTTATTTTTAAGTAATTATTTCGTTTATTGATTGCCAATAAATTTTGCAATTAATTACTTTTTTTTAATAATCATATTATTATTATATTTTTTTGATAAAAAAACATTTGTTATAAATTAATAATTGGTTTTTCATGTTTTTTAATACATATTTTTTCCTATCTATTATTGATAATGAAAACCTAATTACGTAGACGTCTTGAATTAGTCACATAATTAAAAATAAAATGAAAGAAAAAGTATATAAATAAATTAAAAAAATTAATTTTACTTTTAGTTTTAATACAACTAAAACATAATAACAAAAAATGTTGGCCTATATTAGTCTAACTTTACTATTGCTTCAGGGATTAGGTATGTATTGATAATAAAACTTGTATTATATAACTATTGAATTATGAATTTTTTATAGTTTATATTTAATTATTTTTAAAAAATATTTAATTTTTTTTACCTATCAATACTATTTTAATTTATTTTATATACAATAATATATAGAATAATAGTTTAGTTTATAATTTATACAATAAAATATCTAGAATTAAATTATTAGCTAAAAAAATATTATATCTATTTTCCATTTAGATATATAGTAATTAAATATTAATAGTTATACCTATAGCTAGTCTATACTAGTTATAATATAGTTAGAAATATAGTTAAAAAAATATTTGTAAATAATTTTTAATAAAAATAATTATTATTATAAACAGTTTCGGCTAACCCGGTTGGCCAACCCTGGAATGATGACCCGGCGCCGGATATGCAGAAAATCATCGACGAATACAAGGGTCTAACTGAGCCGGTAACTGTCGATCATATATTGAAAAATATGGATCACCTGGCTGAACTGAATAAATTGATAGCTGCCTGGTTGAAAACGGAAGGCCTGGACTACTTGTCGGGTATGGTTGAAAAAGGTAGTGGCGATGGGAAAAAAGGTATACAGGAAGCTATCGATGCTATCAATAAGGAACCGGAACCGTTGAAAAAACAGGATACTATGGAATTGGGTATATCGACTGAATATATGACCCAGTCAAGTGATATCAGTTATAAGGCACGAAAGGGAACTCATATTGTTGTTAAGGGAACGGCAGCTGAACTACAGAAGCAGTTTGTTGAGACCCGTACGAAAATTATGGGTTTACTACAGAAAGCTATCGATAAGGAAAAATCAATGCCTGATAAACAATTCTGGTATCAATTGCATCAAGTGGTAAGTTTGGTTTGGGTTTAGGCTAACTAAGCTTAGTTAGGTTGCCTATATATATAATATTTGTGTGTGTGTGTGTGTGTGGTGAGTGGGTAGTTGGGTGTAGTTTTATAAATATGAGTGTGTGTGTGTGTGTGTATGTTTAATATACATGTTTATTATTAATTATTTATACATGTACATTTTATATTTTTAGTTAGCTAGAGAGAGAGAGAGGGAGAGAGAGAGAGAGAGAGAGAGAGAGAGAGAGAGAGAGAGAGAGAGAGAGAGAGAGAGAGAGAGAGAGAGAGAGAGAGTATTTAGTGTGTGTGTGTGTGTGTGTGTGTGTGTGTGTGTGTGTGTGTGTGTGTGTGTGAGTGAGTGAGTGAGTGAGTGAGTGAGTGAGTGAGTGAGTGAGTGAGAGAGTGAGAGAAAGTTTTATATTAGTATAAAATTGTAAAAAAAAACTTTAAATAATACCATTTTATTTATATTTTTCACCATACTAACTATTATTATTATTATTATTATTATTATTATTATTATTATTATTATTATTATTATTATTATTATTATTATTATTAGTATTATTATTATTATTATTATTATTATTGCTTATAACAGATGAAAACCGTAATGACTCAAGCATTCGCCCAATTGGACTCAGATGTGGCCAAAATTACGCCCGAAACGACCAAAACTAAAACATTGCAAGCGTTGGCCGATTTTGCCGAAATGATGTGGAAAGCCGTCAATGTTATACGTATACCGACCAAACCGCCGATGATTGTCGACGACGAGGCCGACCTAATGGGTTAAAAAAAATAAATTAAAATTTAAAAAAATTGAAAATTATTTATAATAGTTTTTTGTTGTTGTTGGTGTTGTTGAATAAAATTTATGTTTTATTTATTTTCAATTGTAATTTATTTTTACCCGAAAAAAATTATTCTATATTTTTTATTATTACATTTTTATTTATTTTTTTTAATATATATTATATCTGTTATAAATTTTTTTTTAAAAAAATATTTTTAATTGTTATATTTTTAATAATATAGATTATTAGTTAAAACTCTTATATTTTTTTTGAACAATATTTTTATTGATATGGGTTTAAAAAGTGATATTGTTATATTTTTTAAAATTATATTAGATAAAAATTTTTAACTAAAATCATTTATTGTCACTAAAATTAATCATTTAATTATGATCATGATACACATTAAATTTATTTTTACATTAATCTATAATGACCTTGATCAAAAATCAATTGTTTTAACAAAATTGTTTTTATTTATCTACAATGAGATAAATTATAACATTGACTGAAAAAATGATCTTTGTACTTTTTTTATATATATATATATAAAAATATATATTACAACCAAAAAAATATATTATCACTAACTTGACTTAAGTATTAATTTTTTTAAAACTTTTTTATATACCGGTATTAAATAATTATGATAAAAACTTTTAATTTTATTTTATTTTTAAAAATGATTAATATATTCAGTATATAACAAATTAAATACTAGTAATAAAAAACTATTAAATCCTATTGATTAAACATTTTTAGTACAATTGATTAGATTAGCAAAAATACAAAAAAAATTGATTAAAAAAATAGTGAGCATTAAATCAAAGTCTAAAATATTATATTTATTTCTATATATAAAAATATTATTAATTATGTTATAATAATTGTAATAAAAAAAATTAAAAAATATATTTATATATAATATTATATTTAATACATACATTAAATAAAATATTAGTAAAATTTTAATTTAATTTATATATATATATATATATATAATATTATAGTATATTTTATAGTAACTAAATAAATTAATCCTGGTACAATTTCAATAGGTTTATGTACCCTGGTGTTATCTTAACATTGAATTAATATTTATATAAATTAAAATTGAATAACAAATTTAGATATATTTTATTTTATATATAAATAAAAATGTTTTTAAAATAAATTACAAAATAAACATTTATTTTAATAAATAAAAATTTWAACAAAACAATAGTTTTTTTAAAAAATAGTTACTGGGTTAAAATTTTGTTTAAAAATGTTTACTGTTAATTTAATTCTATTACTATTATTTATTATTTATAATACAGGTAATTATTTTTAGTAATATTTATTAATATATATTTATAAAATTTATTGAWAATAATAAATTGTTTTTTAAAATAAAAAATTGTTTATTATAAACTATCTAATTATTATTTTTTGTACAAATTTTATATAAAAAAAAGTTAGTTTAAAATAAATTAAAAATTTATTAAACTAACAATTAATAAGCTATAAATATATATATATAATTATTTTTTATATAAAWAGTTTAAAACTTATATACAGTATTAGAAAAAAATGTTATATAATTGTGTTTTAATAAAAATTTAAATAATTTTTAAATAATTATTTTTCCAAATTTTATTCAATAATAAAATATAGTTAATAGCTATACGATTGTCGATCACTTAATTAAATCAAATAATAATAATAATAATAATAATAATATCAATAATAATGATGTGGATATTGAAACCATTATCAAACAATACCAACAATTAGGGGAACTGGAGATACGTMASCWMATTGACCWTAGCCTGGACACTATGGGCACAGTTATCCAGACAATYGTYGAGGACTATCGYAAACAGGGARACCTGGAACTGATWGTCCAGTTATTTGATAATGAAGTTCAATGGGGACGGATAGCCATACAGTTGGCTATAGTCGGTTTAGATGGGGAACCAGTAGGTCAACGACTACTGGAYRTACGCAAATTGGGTATAGCTATGGAATTTCTGGCTCAGGTARTCGAGAGTGATTGGCTCAGACAAGCGGGTAAACCAGTGATAGTTACTGGCAATAGCCAGCACTTGATGATAGAGTATCGTCAGCTTAGGGATCGGGTGATAGGTTGGCTACAGTTGGCTATTGATTATGAACGCAAGCACCCGGAGCTGGAATTTTGGCTTAAGTTTCATACACAGGTATCTTATTTTTTATGCATACTCAWATACATACACACATACACATACATACAAACACACACATAYATATATATATATATATAWATAAACATAAATACATACAAACACAAACATATACACACATACATACACACACACACATAAAATTATTATTTTCACCTGTATTTTCCTGTATATTAAATATTATATTCCTGTATGTTAACCTGTACTTAAATAACTATATATTCGTATATATTTATAATACTATAAAATAAATTTAATTTAGATACTATAATTATATAAAAAGTTGAAATTATTTTATATTGAACATGAACAATTTTACAAATATTTATAAATTTTTTATATTTAATATTTAAACTGTATATTAAAAATACAAGCAATTTTTTACTAACAAAACTTAATTCATAGTTATTTTATACTTTTATTAATCAAATAGTTCTACATATTTTAAAACACACAGGTTAGCCCTTTCCTGTCACCTGTATTAGACCCTTGATTCCTGTATAATACAGGCGGCACCTGTATGGGTGGTCAGTCTAATACATACAAACACACATATATACGTAGATACAAACACACATATATCGGTATACAAAAACACATGTACATAATTTACAAACACACACACATACAAATACAAACATATACTGTACACACATACATACAAACACACATATATACAAAAACACATATACATAATTTACACACAAACACACACATACATACATACAAAAACACACACATACATACATACAAAAACACACACATACATACATACAAAAACACACACATACATACATACAAAAACACACACATACATACATACATACATACATATATATATACAAACACACACACACACACACACTGTCGGTCAGTTTAATTTAAATTAATTAATTTTGTTTTATTTTTGTGGGAAACGATAGATAAAACAGGTTATGCTAACTGGTATCAAACAAATGGACCAGGACCTAGAAAAATTAACACCCAACGAAACGAAAAAAGCTAAAAACCTACAGGTGCTCGTCAACAGTATGCTGAATGTATTGAAAGCCATAGAGAAGGGACAGCCACCTACACATGTACCCACTCATCAACACATACATGAGCTGATCTATTGAGTTAGTCTATGTTTTTTTTTAAATAAAATATTGAAGAAAAAATAATTAATATAATTTTTAATTTTTTTTGTTGAAAACATTTAATTTTATTAATATTTTTTTATTAACTAAAAAATTGAAAATAATTTATTTTTTTCGTGATAATTAAATATGATTACTATTTATATTAATTAACTATTTAATAATTAAAAAATATTTATATATTATATTTTTTTAAACAATTTATTTAACACTTTTTAACTTTTGATAGTAATGTAAATTAATTATAATTATTTATTATTTTTTTAGGGAAATTTAAATTTAAAAAAAAAATATTTTTATGTTAATTAGTGTACAAAAAAAGTTTTGGCTATTTGGTTGAAAATATAAAAATAAATAATTAATTATTATTTGTAAAAATTAATGTATAAATATTTTTTAATTATTAAATAGTTAATTAATTATAGTAATTGTATTTAATTATTAATGCTTATACTGTGTGTATGATTATACAGGTTTTTTTTTAAAAAACATTTTCATATTTGTTATAAATATTTTTAAAAAGTATTACAAATTGCTTTAAATGAATCAATTATAAAAAAGTTTTTACATATTTTACAAAATAGTTTAAAGTTATAGTTAATATTTTTTATACGCAAAATAAATAATAAGTAAATTTTTTTTATAATAATTAATTATTCAAATTAAATATATATATATATATTTAACACAATTTATTACTCAATAGATTAAAATAATAAGTTTTATATTATTACCTAAATTTCTAAAAAAAAATATTTTTTACACTATTTATTTGGTAAAATGTAAAAAAATATATTTATTTATTTTTTATATACTACTGTATATATATACTGTTATTTTAATTATTATWCGTTAGACTAATACAGTATGATTTTGATCCACAAAAAAAATTATAAATTATTTCAAAATGATAAAAAGATCAATTGTAGATTTATTTTCAAAAAAAAAAATTAATACACTAGTTATCACTAAATATGATTGATAAAAAAACATTAAACTTTTTTTTATCATTATCTAWATTATATGATATAATAAATAAAATAAAAATTAGATAAACTTAAGTACTAATAGTATTATAATTTAACAATAAATTTTTATAATAAACTTAAACATTAAATATATTATRTTGTTGTTTATTATTATAATTATTACATAAATATTAGTAAATTTTTTACACAAAAATWTAGCAATTTAATTWAGTTAYTAATAAATCTTATTAATTAAAATTAATCCTAGTACAATTTTATTAGGTTTATTTACCTGGCTATCTAATAAATATTTAATTAATAAAYTATTGCATGACTTAAATAAAATTTGACAAAAAAATAGCTATAAATATAAAATATTTTTCTTAAATTATATTGTCTATGAAAAACATTTATGAAAATAAATAACAAATTTATTATAAGTTTATTTATTAAAGTTACCGAGTTCAAAAATGTTTAATTACAGTTTATTTTTATTACAATTATTTATTGTCTATGAAACAGGTAAGCAAATAATAATAATATTTATTAAATAATAATATAAGCTATAAATTTTTATTTTCTAATATTAATAATATAAATAATCTATTAATAACTTATTATAGTTTATTATAAACTGTAATTGTTTAATAAATGCTTTTATTTAAATAATATATAATAATTTCTAAATAGATTGATACAAAAAAATATAATATATTGTAATGGATAACTAATTAATTAAATCAATTATTTTTTCCAGTTAATTTAATTTTTTTTAAATTATTTAAAATTTTTATATAACTTTATGTTGTCAAAAAAATATAAATAATTATTAAATATTTTTTTTTATTAATATATATATATATTAGTTATTATATAATAGTTAATAGCTATAAAATTGTTGATCTGTTAATAATTGAAACTTATTAATCCCTAATTAAAATTGCTAATTAACTAATAATTAAATTAAATTAATTTTTTATTTATATATTTTCAAAATTTTAGTTAATTGTAATACAATTGTCGATCGGTTGCTAATTAAAAGTAATAATAATAATATCAATGATAATAATGTGGACATTGAAACCATTATCAAACAATACCAACACTTAACGGAACCGGAGATACGTTTGCTTATCAATCGTAATCTKGAATCAATTGGTTTGGATTTGCAGACAATAGTCGATACGTATCGAAAACAGGGAGATCTRGGAYTGGTTGTCCAATTCTATAACAATGAAATAACATGGGGTCGGGAGGTCATCAAGTTTGCACAGGCATTATTAGATGGTGAATCGGATGATCAACGCCCCATAGATGTCCGTAAATTTGGTATAGCYGTCGATTATATAGGTCAGTTGGTTCAACGTGATTGGCTCCGGCAGGTAATCGATAGGCCAGTTAATGTTACCGGCGATTCCCAACATTTGAAACTTGAATATCATCGGCTAAGGGACAGGACGTTAGATTCGYTACTAACGGCTATAGCCTATGAACGACAACATCTACCGGAGCTGGCSTTTTGGGTAGAGTTTCATACACAGGTATATATATATATACACATATATACACACATATATATATACACACACATATATATATACACATATATACACACAYATATACACACATATATATACACACACACATATATATATACACATAYACACACATATACACACATATATACACACATATATACACACATACACACATACACACATACACACATACACACATACACATACATACACAYATACACACATAYACACACATATATACACACATATATACACACATATATACACACATATATACACACATATATACACACATATATACACACATATATACACACACATACACACATATATACACACATATATATATATACACACACACACACACAATTAAACTTAAAYACATATATATATATATATATATATATACACTAACTATCTGTTTAATTAAATATCTTTTATTTTTGTGTTAWTTATGTGAACCATTTGCTTGGATTGGGAACCGGTAGATAAAAGATGTTTTGCAAACTGGTATCAAACAATTGGATATGGATCTAATATATTTGAAACCTGAACCAAAATTAGCCAAAAATCTACAGGTGCTGGTCAATAGTTTTCAAAATGTATTGAAAGCYATGGAGGAAAGTCTAAAACATACACATACTTTACTTTAATAAAAAATATAGTTATAATAATAATAATACAGTAAATAAACTATTAATAAGTATTGRAAAAAATACTTTACATAAGTTTACATTAAAATTGAGAAATTAATAAATTTAAAATTTGTTTGTATGTTTTTTTTATTATAAATTTGTAAACCTGTATTAAATAAAGATAATTAATTTGCATTTAAATGCATTTTTTTACTTTTTAAAAATTTAATATTAACTAATAAACTTATATTAATTAAATAAAATTATAAATATTTTGTGTACTTTAGATAATAAATATTATTTGAAATAAAAAATTTGTTTCAAAAATCAATTATCAATAATATTATAATCATATATTAGATAACATATTTACATACATAATGTACTTTTTTATTTGTAACATAAGTTTAAAGTTATAAAGTTATAAAATAATTTCAACTAAAATTGACTAAAAATTAATTTTAAAATAAAAATCTATTTAATTTGTAAAATGAGAATTATAAATAAATATTATATTTTATTATGTATATATAATAATTATATTATTTATTAGTATTATACTTTTATCTAATATGAACTTGATCCAACAACAAAAATCAATTGTTGCAAAAATTTATGTAAAATTTTAATTAAAAAAAAWTTATAACATTGATAAAATGATCAATTGTATAGATTTATTTTTMAAAAAAACAAATTATAACAAAAAAAACTAATTTTCACTAAAATGATTGATAAAAACAATTTTTATTTATATATTTTTATACAAATAAAAAAAAATTTAGATAAACTTAAGTACTAATATTATTATTATTATTATTATWRTWGTTTAACTGATAAAAATTAATTGATAAACTTAAGCAATAAATATACTKTAGTATATTGTTGTAAATTATAATAAAAATATTRTAAACATTAYAAAAATATTAGGTATTAAATTATATTTTCAATTTATATATAAAAGAAATACTAATAAATATTTTTTACAATAAAATTTTGCAATTWATAATTTTAATTTATTGTCTTACTACTAAAAAATTAATATCATATAAATTAATCCTAGTACAATTTTTGTTTAATCCTAGATTTTTTATCTTAAAATAATAAATAAATGTAATAAATATTGTATGACTTATGATAAATACAATATTTTATGAAAAAAAATTCAACTATAAATATAAATGTTATTTTTGTTTTTAATTATTTTTATTATAATAAATATTTATAAATAAAATTCTAACAAATTTATACAAAATTATTTTTAAAACATAAGTTAAATTAATTATTTTCTTCAAAAAATGTATAATTACAAATTAATTTTATTACAATTATTTATTATTTATCAAATAGGTAAGTTATAAAATTTATAGTATTTATAATATATATTTATTTTAAATAATAACTTGTAATTATTTAATTTTATAAACTGTAACTTTAATAATTATTAATCATATTAAAATAGTATATATTTATTTTTGTAAATAAATTTTTAGAAACTATATTTAGTTATTAATAATTATCAATAATTATTATTAAAAAAATAATAATATGAAAATAATTAGTTTAGTTTTAAACTTARTTATAAAAATTATTAGTGTATTACTATGTATTAAAAAAATTCTAATTAATTAATAAATTTATATAATTAATTAAATTTAATTAATTAATAAATCTATATATTTTTGAAAATTTTAGTTAATTGTAATACAATTGTCGATCGATTGCTAATTGAAACCAATAATAATAATAATATCAATAATAATATCAATGATGTGGACATTGAAACCATTATCAAACAATACCAACAATTATCGGAACCAGAAATACGTAAACTTATTGACCATAACTTGGACTCTATTGGCACTGATATCCAAACAATTACTGGTGACTATCGAAAACAGGGAGATCTGGGACTAGTTGTCCAATTTATGGACAATCAGCTAACGATGGGTCGTCCGGCCATACAGTTTGCTATGTTTGTCTTGGATGGTGAACCAGATGGTCGACGTCTACAAGATGTCCGCCAGTTTGGTATTGATGTTGAGTTTGTGGCACAGGTAGTCCATCAGGATTGGCTCCGGGCGATTGGCCAACCAGTTGTAGTTACCGGTGATTCTCAACAATTGAAACAAAAGTATCAGCTAGTACAGGCCAAGGTCTACCAGTGGCTACAGTCTAGTATAGCCTACGATCAGCAGCATCTACCGGAGCTTGAGTTTTGGCTAGAGTTTCATAAACAGGTATTTTTTATTTAGTAATATATATATATTGTACACATATATACAAACATATATACACACATATATACAAACATATATACACATATATATATACAAACATATATACATATATATATACAAACATATATACACACATATATACACACAGATATATACACACATATACACACACACATATACACACACACATATACACACACACATATACACACACACATATACACACACATATACACACGCATATAAACACACACTAACTATCTGTTTAATTAAATATTTTTTATTTTTTGTTATTTGTATGAACCCTGGTATGGGTTGGGAACCGATAGATAAGAGATGTTTTGCAAACTGGTATCAAACAATTGGACAGAGATCTGATACATTTGAAACCCGAACCGATATTAGCCAAAAATCTACAGGTGCTGGTCAACAATTTTGAAAATGTATTGAAAATCATTGAGGATGGCCATAAACATTAATCATATACCCTCCCCCACCCCCCAATAGTCTATATTTGAAATAATTATTTTGTGAATTAATTATTTTAATTTAATAATAAATTTTTAATTACAAAAAAGCTTTATTATATTTTTTAACTTTAAACTTAATTATATTATTTTCTTTATTATAAATAAATAGTAATTAATTATTTCTTAAAATTATTTATACATTATATAAACGAAAATAATAACAAATTAATAATAACAAATAATTATATTAAACTGTAATAATAAAAATAATACATAGTTTTTTATGTTTATAAAATAATTAAAATTAATATTTTATAGTAAATTAATTATATATATATTTTATAAAATAATACTTTTATACAGTATATAGCTAGCAATAATTAAAAATAAATTTTTCAAATAAAACTTAAATATCAATAGAAATATTAATTTATACTTAAAGTTAATATTTATTAGTATCAATATATATATTAATCATATTAATTATAATCTATTGTATCTATAAATTTATATAAATAACATTTTTGTAGATAAGTTTAATAAATTTTAGACATATATATATTAAACGTTATTTGAATGTAAATATAAAAATTATTAATCAATAATTATAATCAATAATCAATAAATAATAGATAAAATATTTATTTATTTTGACATAAACAGTGCTAAAATTTTGTTATAGTATTTTCAAATGTTATATCCAATAGTTTATAGCAATACAAACAGACACAAAAATTTTACATTTTTTAAGTATTTAGAAAATTTTTTTAATTAAATATTTAAAAAAATATATTATTTATATTATATCTAATAATATTATTTATTTATTGTTATTAAAATGGGTATGTATAAATAATAAATAATTATTTTTATATAAATATTATCTAGCTAATTATTAAAATTAATATTTAAATTATTATTTAATTAGTTTTAATTATTTATAAATTTTTATTTAATAATATTAATATAACTTATTATTATTATTATTATTATTAATCAGATTCAAACTGTCAACCAGTGGTTAACCTATGGGCTGAACCTAAACTAGTAGATGACCATCAAAAACAACTATACCAATCAATGACCACTATCGAGCTAATTGACTTATTGGACCGCAATATAMAACATGTACTWGGACAGTTTTCCCGTATAACTACCTGGGCTCAACAAACTAAGCTTGATTATTTGGCCAGTGTATACCAGGCAAGTGGACAGGCATTTTTCCAAATAGAAACTGCATGTATGGATGCTATCCAGGCTATTGGCAATCGAGGGGACAGTACTAGACAGCGCCTACATCTAGTACAAAATGCCTGTTTTTTTGACAATTGGATCGRTTATATTGACCGACAAATTGAATTGTTTGCCAACTGTCCACTTGAGGCGTATGGACTGTCCGATAGTGTCCAGGAATTGATCGGTGAGTTTCGATTGAATCGCCGGGAAATGTTGGTCACCATACAGGAGGCAATCGATTGGGAACTGGAACGCAATGAACATGCATTTTGGGCACCGTTCGATATTAAGGTAGGTGTGATGTGTATGTGTATGTGTATGTGTATGTGTATGTGTATGTGTATGTGTATGTGTATGTGTATGTGTATGTGTATGTGTATGTGTATGTGTATGTGTATGTGTATGTGTATGTGTATGTGTATGTGTATGTGTATGTGTATGTGTATGTGTATGTGTATGTGTATGTGTATGTGTATGTGTATGTGTATGTGTATGTGTATGTGTATGTGTATGTGTATGTGTATGTGTATGTGTATGTGTATGTGTATGTGTATGTGTATGTGTATGTGTATGTGTATGTGTATGTGTATGTGTATGTGTATGTGTATGTGTATGTGTATGTGTAGTGTGTATGTGTATGTGTATGTGTGTAGTGTGTAGTGTGTATGTGTATGTGTAGTGTATGTGTGTGTGTGTAGTGTATCTGTGTGTGTAGTGTATATGTGTGTGGTGTATGTGCATGTTGTGTATATATCTAGTAATTTTTTTTTAAAAATTAAAAATAATATTTAAAAAATATTTATTTAATTCTATAGATTCTAAATGATATGAAATCTGGTTTTGAATTGATTGATCAAAATTTGGATAAATTAATACCTGAATCACTAAAAATAAAAACATTACAAAAATTGGTTATCGATACTAAATTTTTATCAATTGGTTATAAAAATTTTGGAGTTTAAAACATTAAAAACATAAAAACAAATAAAATTACAATAATTATTGAAAAGCATTTTATTCAAAATTGTTAAAAAAATAAATAAATATTATATTAATTCAGTGTAAATTAGTTATTTTATAAAACATTATTTTTTATTTTATTTTTTTTAAAAATATTTTATTATAAACTAAAATCTAATTAATTATTTTAATTATTATTATTATTRTTATTTAGAGCTAAAACAATATATATATATATATATTAATTTTATTTATTAAAAAATTTATTGTTCAAACAAAAATTTCAAATATATTATAATATTTTTTATGAAAAAAATTACAAAATAATAATTAATATTTAGTTAAAATTAAAAAAAACTGAAAAAATTATGAAATATTATTTTTAAGTAGAATTTTCAATTTAAATTTTTTTCAATAATCATTATATTTGTTTCAATGACTTAGACAAATATACATAAAAATTACCATTAATTAGTTGCCTAACAAATATTGGTAACATAATTATAAAAAACAGGGTTGCAATTTAGAGAGGGTGTGAGTGTTATTATGGTTATGGTCTACATAGGGTCTGTTTATTAAATGCGAAACTTAAATGTTAAAAATTTTAGTAATCATTTAAGGATAAAAATAAGATTTTTGTCATATAAATAATAAACAACAATACTAATTAATTATTTTATAAAATAAAAAATTTTATTAAATTAATATAATAGGAAAGTTTTGATTAAAATAGAAATTTTCCATGAATTTCTGTTAAAATGCAATACATCCATGCCAAGTTATTTTACCCTCTAATGAGAAACCCCCCTAAATTAAGAAAACTGCGCTACCCTGATTAAAAATCTATATATATAAATTGAAAMWTAAYAAAATTATCATTTAACATTATATATATTTATGATATAATATATGATGTTAGATATTAATTAAATAATTATTGTTAGTTATTAAAATAACGAAAATAATGATTAAAAACAACCAGTTTCTAGCAATCAGTTTACTTATTAGTATACTATGTATACATGGATTATTAATGGGTAATAAAAAATAATTAAAACTTTAAGAATGTATTATTTATTAATTTATTTAATATATRWATATATAGTTACCAACTGTCCGGACGACCCGTACATAAAACCGAACCCAATTTCKGACGAAGCCATACAACAAGTGAAATCCTGGTCCGAGAATAAACTAATCGATAAAATCAATGGACAAATTCAAGCCGAAGCCAATTGGTTCAGACATTTTAGTAAAGCGGCCAAACAATACCAATTGGACTACTATTCCACTGTATACGACCAGATTGGTTATGATTTTCAGGTTAATGGTAATTTCATGCTGAATATGGTGTTAAATGGGAGCTATACACAAAAGGACCGGCACCTGTTACTCGAACATCTAACACTATTCCATAGATATTGGCTCCGGTATATCGATGAGAAAATGCAATTGCTACGTAGATGTCCACAATTGTTGACAAACCTACCCGTAGGCAGCAATACTGTTGATAACTTAATGAGACAGTTAGCTATAACTCAGAACAATACTGTAGAAGCATTGGACAATTATATTAAGGGATACAAATCTGATAATAGGGGATCAGAAATTACAGTGATTGTAACAGCTGTGGTTAGTATTTCTAGTAATATATATATTAATATAATTATTGAAAATTTTATGATTGATATGTATTTGTGAGAGAAAGAGAGATAGAGAGATAGAGAGATAGAGAGATAGAGAGATAGAGAGATAGAGAGATAGAGAGATAGAGAGATAGAGAGATGAGAGAGATAGAGAGATAGAGAGATAGAGAGATAGAGAGATGAGAGAGAGAGAGTAGAGAGATAGAGAGATAGAGAGAGAGAGAGAGTGAGAGAGATATATACTTTTATCTCTAGATAGAGAGTGAAGATTTAATGTGACTTAAAATGAGCTATGTTTTATCGTATGATTGTATATATTGAGAAATATATAAAAAAAATAAAATAAAATAAAATTAATTCATAATTTTTTTAATAGATTTTAGATTACGTTCAAAAAAATATTCCGATAATCGACAAAAATATTGACCAATTGCAGCCCGAATCGGTTAAAGCGAAAACAATGCATTGGTTTATAATGGATTTGGAGTTTTTATTACGAGGTTATCGTGTACTAAATGTTTGACAAACTTTTGTTTTTTAAACGTTTTTAAAAATCTGGACAAATCTGGCATTTCTTTAAAATTATTTTTTGTTTTTTCTAAATTTGTAAATTTCTATTGTATTTTATTATTTTTATTTTTTATTATTAATTTTATTAAACTTTATTTGCATTGATTTTTTTGTATTTATTATTATAACATATTAATATTTTTTTTAGTTATTTTAGTTTTTAAAATATAATTAAAATATTAACACTGACTATTTAAATGCTACTAAAAACAAAACAATATTATTAAAATTATTTAAATTGAATTAAATTATTTTATATTTTTATTTATTTATTTAGGATAAAAACTTAAATAGTAATAGTAGTAGTTGTATTTTATTATTTTTTTTAACCAATAGCAAGTTTACAACCAAATTGAAGTCAATGACGTCAATGCTAGTACTACTACAACAACTACTACTACTATATACTTGTATTAAAATAATATATTATCTCTTTTTAAAAATCACTTAAAATTTTTATACTATTAATATATCATAATAAATAAATCTATTATCTATTGAATATATTTCTAAAAAATTTATTATACAATATATTTATCAATAGTTTATTTTACTTTATGTTACTATTATATATAAAATAATTATTGAATATTATCCTAAAAAACAATCCTATTTTATACTAAACATTTTATTATACAAAATCAAAAAACAAAAATTTATAAACAATAAAAAATTGAATTAAATTGAAAACATTTTTTTTGAATTATTTTAAAAAGTTTTTTAATGGATATTACAATTAATTAATAATAAAATCAAATTATAATTTTATTTATTATTATATTTATTATTATATAATTAATATTACTTCAAAAATCAAATTTATTTTTGTTAGCCAATTATTTGCTACTATTTTATTGTTAACATATATGACAACCCCTCCTAACCTCCCATCCCATACACACATAGACAATATCTAACTGTCCTATTTATTAGTAGCATCATCATCAGCATTATCATCATCGACATCATCATCAAGCAATGGTCCGATAACCGATAGTATAACATCRTAGGCTTTAGTCCAGCCATCGACTACCTGATCGGTTATGACTTCSGGACCAAATTTATCCGACATCAGTGCCAACAGTGTCCGCCGGACCGCAACAAACTGTTGATAGTCGATAGCCCGGCGCCGATGATTACGGGCCAGTTTRCTAAGCATTTCAACCAGTAGTTCGGGGTCATCAAGATTGTCGACCAACATCGATATGGCATACAATACMCCCGTTGCGTGGGCCAGTAGTTTTTTGTTGCCCTTTAGTTCGACACKGGGGACGTCCTTAAACTGTTTGAAATGTTTCTGGTATTCGGGGTTGTCCTCAAAAAATCTATTTCAGCCAATAATCGGTAATATAAAAAATATAAAWAAATATTTACTATATTATAATTAGTTAAATAATTATATATTGTATATATATATATATATCTAATAATTAATTAATTTCTAATTTATTTTATATAATTTTTTAATTTATTTTTTTTWGTTATTTTTTTGTTTTAAATGTTATGTTGTATATAATAATAATATTTAAAAAAAATATATTTATGTATTAATTAAATACTATATGAATGTATATATAAAAATTTTTTTAAGTGAGTGAGTGTAATATATTAATTATTAAGTTAGTAATATAATATTTATCTATTAAATTATAATTTTATAATCAATACAGTAGTTATAGTGGGGGAAAAAACATAACAAGTAACATAAACTACTAACATAAAATACTTAATATTATTTTAAATGTACATGTACATTTTTGATTGAGATATATATATTTATTTTAATAACTACTATTAACAAATTAAACAATAATAATTAAAACACTTAAATTTTTTATTTTATTTAATTTAAAAAAATTAATTAATTAAATTTTTTTTTATAATTACCTAATAAAAAAGTCAAATGCATTTCCATGTATATCCTGTTTAATYAGTGCCCATGTTTGGCGTACATTTGTTTTATCCAGGTCAGTTAGACTAGGTGGATTAACAACATAGTTAACTTGTTTTTGTGGCATATTTTTTTTTAATTAAATTAAAAATAATATATTTAAAAAATTAAAACAATAWTTATTTAAGTAACTATAACTTTCAAAAAAATTATAAAAATAAAACTTATTCAAATTAATATTAATTTTTTTGTGATTSTAATTAATTAAAAAAATTTGTGTTGTATTTAATAATAATAATGTTTTAAATGTTTTATATAAACATTTTTAATATCTTTATAGTTATATTATATATATATATATATATATTCTAAAAGTATAATCAGTYTACTGTATTTAWTAATTTATTTTTTATTTTTGAAATAAAAATCTATGTAATATAAAACTTATCAAGGTTATTATTGAAATAGTAGATAGTGTAGTTTATTTTATAGATTAATTTATTTTTTTAAAATATAGTTTGTTTATACTAAAATGATTTATATATTATAGATATTAATTATAATTGAATTAAACTAACTGTTTTATTTTTAAATATAATAAATATATTTAGATAATTATTTTTTACTCTGAMTAGATAAAATAAWATGTTTAATATTATTTTAAATAATATATTTTGTGTTTTTAAAAAATTAATAGTAACAACAGTTTTACTTAACAAAAAAWTATATGAATGATTTTTTATTTATTTAATTTTAATAAAAAGTACATTTTTAAATAATCAAAAATAAYTAATATAATAATGTTTATTWTATTATTTATATGAATTTTTTWGTTTGGAAAAATTTACWTTAACTAAGTTAATTTATTAAATAATCTTTTTTATATATATTTAAAAAAATTAACATTTATAATAGTAATTTTAAATTATTATAACATATAAATATTATTTAGTATATTATTTAATAATTAAAATAATAAACATATTTTTAACATTATTAAAWAGGATATATAACTAACTTTATTATCTTTTACATTAAAAAATTATAGTGATATAGTTTACATGCACTAACTTTATAGCTTACTAATTAAATTAAGTAATATTTATTTTACTAAATTTTTAATATTTTTTAAAAACAATTATTTTAAAATTAAAAAAATTAGTTTTTAATATAAAMTAATAATTATCATATATTGTTTACTCTAATTAAAAAATAAAATAAGTTCATATTTTTAATAGTTTTAATRTTTATTATTATTATTATTATTAATGTCTATAAAAAATTTAAATTTGCTTGATCATTTAATATTAATTGTTTACGTCTAGATAATTTTTGTTTTACAGTAAATAAGTTTCAAAATAAACTATTACAATAAACAACTAAGCTTATAGTTTTATTTATATTATATTTAAAATTGTTTATTATTTTAATTTATTATTATTTAGTGTATTATATATTTTTAATTATTTTCAATACATTTACAGAMTATTACTTAAATTTTTTTCCAATATTATTTTTAACTTTTTATTACTTAATAATGATAATTTGAAAATTTTTAAGTTTAATATTTATTTTATAAAAATAAAATATGTTTCTTAATAAACAAGTACATATAAAAAAAATTGATGAAMAATTATATAAATACAAGCAATAAATTRAATAAAAATTTCAGTTGCTAACTATAAAAAAGTTTTTTARCTAATAAATTTTTAGAGAAAATATTTTTTTATAAAAAAATATATATTTACTACTATTTTGTATTAATTAATTGATTTTTAATTTTTAAACTATACTCGTATTATTAATGAATACTATACAAGCTATAAGTTTAGCCATAATTTTTGGCTCATTARTACAAAGATTGGGTAATTATTTTATTAAAATTTTTTTTTTWAATTTTAACATTTTTTCTCTACTATTACTATAGTTGCCAAATGTCCAGCTAATCCATGGKCTAGTCATGAATCCTATAGYTWYTATTTGRATGAAATTAATCAAACAAATCTAAATGATAACCAATCGTTTAGCGTACTAGTCGTGGACAATGGCCATAGACTGGCCGAACAATTAGACAAATTAGCCGAACAACAACATGGCGTACCGTTTATGAGCCTATTCTATAGGGTAGTCAAATTGGGTTCACTGACTATTACCATGGGTAATYTRGTGTTAATTAAGTTGATAGTACCCRATCACCAAGATCAAGATAAATATCTGGGACAGTTGGCTGCATTTGATCGATATTGGTTTGAGTATCTAACGGCTCAAATGAAACTATGGGCCCAATGTCCASCTAAAGCSTATAATATACCCAAAACAATGCATCAATTAGCYYTATCGTTGATCGATGGCCAGAAAATTATTCATGATAAATTACTGAAACTAATCGATTGGGAACAACAGGATAAAGATTATCAATTTTGGGTACCCGAACATAGAATGGTTTGTCTATATATTTATTGTTTTTTAACTTTTTAACTCTTTAAATTTTAACTTTTTAATTTTTTATCCCTTTTAACTTTTTTAAAACTATATTTTAACTTTATTAATTTTATTAACTTTATTAACTTTATTAACTTTATTAACTTTATTAACTTTATTAACTTTATTAACTTTATTAACTTTATTAACTTTATTAACTTTATTAACTTTATTAACTTTATTAACTTTATTAACTTTATTAACTTTATTAACTTTATTAACTTTATTAACTTTATTAACTTTATTAACTTTATTAACTTTATTAACTTTATTAACTTTATTAACTTTATTAACTTTATTAACTTTATTAACTTTATTAACTTTATTAACTTTATTAACTTTATTAACTTTATTAACTTTATTAACTTTATTAACTTTATTAACTTTATTAACTTTATTAACTTTATTAACTTTATTAACTTTATTAACTTTATTAACTTTATTAACTTTATTAACTTTATTAACTTTATTAACTTTATTAACTTTATTAACTTTATTAACTTTATTAACTTTATTAACTTTATTAACTTTATTAACTTTATTAACTTTATTAACTTTATTAACTTTATTAACTTTATTAACTTTATTAACTTTATTAACTTTATTAACTTTATTAACTTTATTAACTTTATTAACTTTATTAACTTTATTAACTTTATTAACTTTATTAACTTTATTAACTTTATTAACTTTATTAACTTTATTAACTTTATTAACTTTATTAACTTTATTAACTTTATTAACTTTATTAACTTTATTAACTTTATTAACTTTATTAACTTTATTAACTTTATTAACTTTATTAACTTTATTAACTTTATTAACTTTATTATATATATTATTAACTTTATTAACTTTATTAACTTTATTAACTTTATTAACTTTATTAACTTTATTAACTTTATTAACTTTATTAACTTTATTAACTTTATTAACTTTATTAACTTTATTAACTTTATTAACTTTATTAACTTTATTAACTTTATTAACTTTATTAACTTTATTAACTTTATTAACTTTATTAACTTTATTAACTTTATTAACTTTATTAACTTTATTAACTTTATTAACTTTATTAACTTTATTAACTTTATTAACTTTATTAACTTTATTAACTTTATTAACTTTATTAACTTTATTAACTTTATTAACTTTATTAACTTTATTAACTTTATTAACTTTATTAACTTTATTAACTTTATTAACTTTATTAACTTTATTAACTTTATTAACTTTATTAACTTTATTAACTTTATTAACTTTATTAACTTTTTTAACATTTTAAACATTTTAAACATTTTAAACATTTTAAACATTTTTAACATTTTTAACTTTTTTTTACTTTTTTAACTTTTTTTACTTTTTTAACTTTTTTTATTATTAATTCAAATAGATTCTTTTAGTAATGGATCTAGCCATCAATGTTGTTCATGAAACTGTCAAACATTTGGGGTCCGAATCGACAATATTGAAAATAATGCAAAAATTATTTTTAGGCAAAGAATTTCTTGTACACGGAATTGATTTAAATAAGGTTTAAATTTCTTATTTATTTTTTATTTTTTTGATTTTTTTTCTTACTGTACAACTGGACATCTGGCTATACTACATTTTATTTTTATTTAATCAAGAATCTAATAACTTATATAGAAATTTATATTATATTTCTAAATGCAATAAATAATTTTATTTTTTATTTATTTTTTGTTTTAAATAAAGAATCCTGAATCATTTATGTTTTTAAAAAAAAAAAATTATTTACATATTTTATTTGACTTACATAATAAGTTATAGATAATAATAATCTTTATACATTATAATAATGTAAATCGTAAACTTATATTTCTAACATAAATTAAAAATTTAAAAATTACATATAATATAAAAACATATATTTTCTAAAGTCACTACTAATATATGACAATTCAATTTAATAATTAAAAACTTCTACTAATACTACAATTTTTCAATTACATCTAAATTATACATGTACTTTAAATAATGATAAATAAATACTATAAATATAACTATAGCTATAAATACTAATTTTATGTTTTCGTATAAAATTTTAAACTTTAAAGCTTATTTTATACTGAGTAATAATACTAATAACAATAAAAATATTTTATAAAATTTCTATTTAATTGAATATTTTGTTTAAATAAAATAAGTTTTTATTTTTTATTTTAATAAATATCTAATTAATAGGACATTATCTATAAAAAAAAACTTAAACCATGTTTTAATTTTTTAAAAATAATTTTTAATAATTTGTATATTTACATTCTATTTAATTAATTTTTTCACAATATATTTTTAATATATAAAATAATGTTAATATTGCAAAATTTGTAAACACATCTCTATTATTTAGCATTAAAATAAATATAATAAATAATTTTTATTTAATTTTGATAAAAGTACATAATAATTATATTTTAGTTTTAAATTATAAAAAAAAATTAATTAATTTATAAATGTTTATTTGTTCAAGCAATGTATTGTTTAGTTTGAAAAATACAATAAATATATATATATATAAAGTAATAATAGTAATTTTAAGTTATTATAAAATATATAAATATTATTTAGTATATTATTTAATAGTTAAATAATAAACATTTTTTTTCAACTATTAAATAGGATATATAACTAACTTTATTATGTTTTACATTAAATTATAGTAACATATAGATATTTTAWTATTAATTATTATATTATTTTTATTTTGTAGWCATTTCAGTTTTATTTGTAATTTAATAAATAATATATTAAAAATTTATATATMTTTTTTTWTTAAAAAATRGAACAATATTTTGCAAATCATATAATTTTTAGTTAAAATTTTTAAGTGTTTAATGCTATGTAGGCGGGGCTTGCAAGTGGTGGTACACAGTTATTATACACATTATACTTAAGTTATATATATATATATATAGAGTATATAATATATAGATATAATCTATGGTAAATATRTATGCTTYCCGTTATCAATATATTATATATATATATATATATAAAATTTKTTGATGTTATAMTAGAAATGTAGAAATCGGATAACTTTTATCGGAACCAAACCGAAAAATAATAATTAYATAAAACACATAATTAAAAATCATGTCTGTTTTTAATAACTAACAATTAAATTAGTTAGTTTTAATGAAATTTTTAAAAAATTTAAAATTTTTKTTTGTATTATACATGTAAATATGTTTGTATTATATAAAAATAYAAACAATACCGAACCGTAAACCGTGCAATACTTTTTGACAGTTTACAACTCTAGTCGACACTTATAATCAAAAAACTATATAAACAATGATATCCTAACCATTAATATATGGTAATAGTATTTATTAATTAATATTTAAGTGTTTTCTAGACATACATTAGGAGTTAACCTAGAAATTAAAAAATAAAAATTATACAGCTTTATATATATATATACAGTATATAAAGTGTATATATATACTAATAAAAATTTAATTATTTTAAAAATTTTTAATTTCTAGGTTAAWGWSTGTAATCTGTAATGTAAATGTGTTTTTAAACTAGAATTATATGATTTGCAAAATATTGTTTTAATTTTTTTTAAAAAAAGATATAAACTTTTTTATATAAWTTTTTAGTACTTTTACAAACAAGTAATGAAATTTTTTTATATCATTGTTATTCTTAACTATAATTTATAATAATAATAATGATGATTAGTTGAAAATTATAAATTTATTATTTATTTTATTAAAAAAAAATTAATAAAATTTCTTAATAAAATTAGTACATATAATGATTGATGAAAAAATTGATATAAATATAAGTTGAATTAAATTTTACASTTAYAAACTATAAGTTTTTTTAGTAGAAAATAGTAATTTAWAAAAAATTATTTAAAACTTTTAATTAACTAACTAAATAAATTCACTAATATATTTTTATTTATTATTAATAATATTTTAATAGTKTTTTTTTAAATATAATTTTATTATTATTAATATTTTGATTTTTAAAATTATACTCGTATTCTAATGAATACTATACTAGCTATAAGTTTAGCCATAATTTTTGGTTTATTACTACAAGGATTATATAATTATTATTATACAACAAAAATAAGTAATTKWAAAATTATWTTCTATTTATTAAATTAAATAATATTTTTATTTATTTTTTAAAACTACTACTACTACTATAGTTGACAGCTGTCCATCAAATCCATGGGCTAGTCATGAATCGTTTGGCTATTATTTAGATGAAATTATTACAGAAAATTTAAATCATAACAAATCGTTTACCGTACTAGTCATGGACAGTGGCCATAGACTATCGGAACAATTAGACAAATTAGCTGAACAACAACTAGAAGTTGATTATATGAAAACATTCTATAGTCTAATCAAATTGGTTCAATGRTCAATACGTTTGGTAATTTATTTTTGATAGATATGTCGGTACCCGATCAACATGATCAAGATAAATACATGGGACAGTTGGCTGCATTTAATCTATATTGGTCCGATTATTTAGCGGCTCAATTAAATCTGTGGGCCCAATGTCCAGACAGTGTTTATAATATACCCGTAGAATTTAAACCAATAMGTCAATCGATTATCGATAATACAAATATTATAAAAAATAAATTGCAGTCCAGTATCGAACAACATAATAATGATTATCTATTTTGGGCACCCGAATTTAAAATGGTTATATWGATATTTTTTTAATTTTTAATTTTTTTTAATTTTTTAAAWTTTTTTTAACTTTTTTCAACTTTATTTTAACTTTTTTTTAACTTTTTTTTTCTTTTTTAAAACTATTTTTWTAACTTTTTTAAATTTTAAAATTTCTAATTTATTTAAATTATTAACTTTTTAACTTTTTTAATTTTTTTACTTATTTAAAATTTTTAACTTTTTTAAACTTTTTTTTAACTTTTTTAACTTTTTTTTAATTTTTTCAAAAATAGTTGATTAAACTATTGGATGTAGAGTTGCATATGATTCACTTAACGCTCAAAGATGTTGTACCTAGATCGTTAAAATTTAAAATAATTGGAAAAGTGTTTTTAGCCAAAGAATTTCTTGTACGCGGAATAGATTTAAATAAGACTTAAAAATTTCTTGTTATATATATATTTATTTTTTGTGGACATCTGGCTATACTAGACATTTAATTAATAATTAATATTCTATTCTTATTATATAAACATTTAATATCTAATTTTTATTATTTTCTAAAAGTATAAGTAGTTTACTGTATTTAATATTTTTTTTTGTTTTTTTTTGAAATAAAAATCAATGTTATATAAAAACTTATCAAGGYTACAATTGAAATATGATATTGTTTAATATTATATTTTTTCTTAGTAATAATACTGTAAATCTAACTTATATTTAAAAAATAAATTTTAAACTTGAAAGATTAATTTATGCATAGTAATAATACTAATAATAATATAATTTTCTAATTTATATTTAATAAAATATATTGTTTAAATAAAATAAGTTATTATTTTTTTTATTAAGTTCTTATTTAAAAGTTTCTTATTATTAGAAAATTTTCTATAAAAAAAATAACACCATGATTTTATTTTTTTAAATTAAGTTTTAATAAACTGTACATTTATATTCTATTAATTATTTTTTCACAATATATTTGTATAGAAATATTTTTAAAAAATTAATAATTATTGTATTAAAAAACTTTATAATAATGTACCAGTATACTTTTATTTTGATTCTATAAAATATTGTATAAATAATGAGTACAATATTTAATATTTTTTAAGTAAACTAACTGTTTTGTAGTTTTTTTAAAAATATAATAATTAGATAATTATTTTTACTGAGTAGATAAATAAAATGTTTAATAATATTTTTTGGTTTTTAAAAAATTAACAATAATAACAATTTTATTTAACAAAAAAAATAAATATATAAATAATATTTTTATTTAATTTTAGTAAAAAGTACATTTTTCAATAATCAAAAATAATTAATATAAAAATTTTTCATTAATTATTTATTTGATTTTTTTTGGAAAAATACAATAAATAAATAATTTTATAATATTTTATATATTATTTTTAAATATTTAAAAATTATACATTTATAATATTAATTTTAAGTTATTAAACATATTATTTAGTATATTATTTAATAGTTAAATAATAATTTTATTTTTTATTATTAAATTACATATATATCTAACTTTAAAGTTATATAGTTTACATGCACTAACTTTTTATATTATTTGTTTTATTAAAGTAATGTTTATTTTATTAAATTTTTAATATTTTTAGAAAATCATTATTTAAGTAATAATAATAAAGTTTTTGTCTGATTAAAAAAATAAAATAAATTAAGTTCATATTTTTAATAGTACTTATTTCAAAACTTAATATTATTATTATGTCTATACAAAATCAATTATGCTAGATCATATAAGTTTTATTTTATTTTTTTATTATTTAATTTAACACGTCTACATAATTTTTCATTTTAAGTAATTGAATAACTAATTATTGAAACTATTATAATTAACAAGTTAAAATAAAAATTTTTTATTAATAAAACAAATTGTAAAAAATTAAAATAAATTAAATAAATTATTTAAATATTATTTTTTTTAAAATATGTTTTATTAGTATTTATTATATTATATTTTTAGCTTTATTTTTTCAATACATTTAMAGACTATTACCTATTTTTTTTGCAATATTATTCTTAACTCTTTATTACTTAATAATGATTATCTAAAAAATTTTTAATTTAATATTTATTTTATTTTTTTTATAAAAAAAAGTTACTTAATAAACTAGTACATATAATAATTAATTAAAAAATTATATAAATACAAGCAATAAGTTGAATTAAATTTCAGTTACTAACTAAAAGTTTTCATTTAATTAATAAATTTTTAAAAAATTGTTTAAAATTAAATTAACTAAATAATTAAATTCACTACTATTTAGTATTAATTAATTGATTTTATTTTTAAAAAATAAAAACTAATTAAAACTTAAATTAATGAATTCAATTACAGCTATAAGTTTAGCCATAATTTTTGGCTCATTAGTACAAGGATTGGGTAATTATCATAATTTTTAGTTTTTTATAAAAAATACAYTAAATTTTTTATTTTAAATTTTTACATTTTTTAAAAACTATTACTACTACTATAGTTGCCAAATGTCCAGCTAATCCATGGGCTAGTCATGAATCGTTTGGCTATTATTTRGATCAAACTAATCAAGCAAATCTAAATAATAACCAATCGTTTAGCGTACTAGTCCTGGACAGTGGCCTCAAACTGACCGTACAATTAGAACTATTAGCCGAACAACAACACGGTGTTCCCTTACTGAGCCTATTCTATAGGCTAATCAAATTGGGTTCAATAGCCAATACATTAGGTAATCTAGTGTTGATTAAGTTGATAGTACCCAATGAGCAAGATCAAAACAAATATCTGGGACAGTTGGCTGCATTTGATCGATATTGGGCCCAGTATCTAGGTGATCAATTAAAACTATGGGCCCAATGTCCATTAAAAGCGTATAATATACCCAAAACATTTGAACAATTACGTCAATCGTTGATCGATACCAAGAAAATTGTCAAAGATAAATTACAGGCATTTATCGATTGGGAACAACAGGATAAAGATTTTCAATTTTGGGTTCCCGAACATAAATTGGTTTGTCTATATATATTATTTTTTTAATTATTTTTTTTAATTATTTTTTAACTTTTTTAGCTTACTTATTTCTTACTTTTTTAACTTATTTAATTTCTTAACTTTTTTAGCTTATAAAATTTTTTTTACATTTTTAGCTTAATTAGTTTATTAACTTTTTTAGCTTATTTAATTTTCTAAATTTTTACTTTTTTAATTTTTTAAACTTTTTTTAACATTTTTAATTTTTTTACTTTTATTTTTTTTAAAAAAATAGATTCTTAAACTATTGGAAGTAGTTATGAATATTGTTCAGTATCTGCTCAAACATATGGCGCCCGAATCGTTGAAATTGAAAACAATGCAAAAATTGTTTTTAGGCAAAGAATTTCTTGAACGCGGTATTGATTTAAATAAGATTTAAATTTTTCTTATTTTTATTTCTTACTGTACAACTGGACATCTGGCTATACTAGACATTTTATTTTTAATTATTAATTAAATTTTTTATTTAATCAAGAATCTAATAATTTATATAGAAATTTATATTATATTTTTTTTAAAAAAAAATTTAATCTTATTATTTTTTAAAATTAAATTTGTAAAATTTTTTATTTATTGTATTTTTTCAAATAAAGAATCCAGCATCATTTATAATGTGTTATTTTTTTGTAAATTTATTTGCATTTTTATTTTTTCATATTTATTAATATACTGTATATTCTAAAATATATTTCTAATGTAAATTTTAATTAAAAAAAATTTCGTTAAAAGCATATAATTAATGTTTAAGTAAAAAACTAATATAAGATATTATAATAATTAACTTTTTTAACTACTATACTAATGCTATATTTTATTTACATTTAAATTATACATCTACTGCAAATAATAATAATAATAATATTTTCTAATTTATATTTAATAAAATATATTGTTTAAATAAAATAAATTTAAATTAAAATGTTTAATAAAATTTTAAATAATAACAATAATGATGACTAAAATTATCTAATAAATATTTAATAAAATATATTGTTTAAATAAAATAATTTTTAATTAAAATGTTTAATAAAATTTTAAATAATAACAATAATGATGACTAAAATTTTCTAATTTATATTTAATAAAATATATTGTTTAAATAAAATAAATTTAAATTAAAATGTTTAATAAAATTTTAAATAATAACAATAATGATGACTAAAATTATCTAATAAATATTTAATAAAATATATTGTTTAAATAAAATAATTTTTAATTAAAATGTTTAATAAAATTTTAAATAATAACAATAATGATGACTAAAATTTTCTAATAAATATTTAATAAAATATATTGTTTAAATAAAATACGTATTTATATTTTTTTTAATAAATAAGTCTAGAGAAAATTACACCATGGTTAATCATAAATGTTTTTTATAATTTTTGAAAATTAATTTTTAATACTCTGTACATTTACATCAAAATTAAAATGTCTTTATCTTAGTTATAAATATGAGAAAATATTATTGTTAAACAAAAATTATTATTATTATATTTTTTTTATAATGATTGTTTGAAATTTGTAATTTAGTAAATTATATTAAAAATTTATATTTAAAAAATAATAAACAATATTTTGCAAATCATATAATTCTAGTTAAAAACATATTTACATTGAATAACACATTTTAACCTAGAAATTAAAAACTAAAAAAAAATTATAGAACAATATATATATATATATATATATATAGTGTATAAACGATATAAATTTAATAATTTTAACTAAAAATTTTTAGCTAATACTAGTATTTATTTATTTTAATTTAATTATATTAATAATTATATTTATTAATTAATTACAGTATGTATTCAATGTTAACAACATTTATGATTATAATTTTATACATAAATGGATCAGGTAGTTTTTTTTGATAAATTTTATTTTTTTTTGGTTAATTTTTTTAATTTAATTTATTTAAAAAAATAATTAATAGTTGCCAGTTGTCCATCAGATCCATGGGCTAAACTTAGACCCTTTAGCTATTATATGGATAAATATCAACCCATAGCCAACAATACCCTACAGTTGACAATGTCTATACATTCAAACATAGCTATATTGAGTTCACAGTTTAATCTGTTAGCTACCAATGCTGCCAACAGTGGACTGGACTCAATGGTCAGTATATATGCCGATTTGGGGAACGGTATACAACAAACAGAATTCCAATTGTTAGCGAATGAACTACAAATACCAGACATCGGGGAGAGGAACTGGCGATTGCTAATGCAAGCAGCTTTCGAATCCTATTGGATTAGCTATATTGGTGGACAGTTGACTTTGTTTGACCAGTGTAAACCAATGGACTATATGGTACCCGGTGATTTCGATAATTTGATGGCCATGTTTGTCCAGACCCGTCAAAAAGTATTGGATAAAATTCAATATTGGTATCAATTTGAAAGTAATTACAAAAATTGGCAATTTTGGGCACCGTATACTAGCAAGGTGATATTTTTATTATTAAATGATTTTAGGTGTGTGTATGTGTGTGTATGTGTATGTGTATGTGTGTGTATGTGTGTGTATGTGTGTGTATGTGTGTGTATGTGTGTGTATGTGTGTGTATGTGTGTGTATGTGTGTGTATGTGTGTGTATGTGTGTGTATGTGTGTGTATGTGTGTGTATGTGTGTGTATGTGTGTGTATGTGTGTGTATGTGTGTGTATGTGTGTATGTGTGTGTATGTGTGTGTATGTGTGTGTGTGTATGTGTGTGTGTATGTGTGTGTATGTGTGTGTATGTGTGTGTATGTGTGTGTATGTGTGTGTATGTGTGTGTATGTGTGTGTATGTGTGTGTATGTGTGTGTATGTGTATGTGTGTGTATGTGTGTGTATGTGTGTGTATGTGTTTGTATGTGTGTGTATGTGTGTGTATGTGTGTGTATGTGTGTGTGTATGTGTGTGTATGTGTGTGTATGTATGTGTGTGTGTAATAATAATTTATTTTCTCATAATTTTCATAATTAGATAATTGAAAACTTGAAGACCATTTACCCAACTATTGATAATATGGTTAAAAAATTGTCGCCCGAATCGATAAAAGTGCAAACATTACAGTATCTGCTTATCGATCATGAATTTCTCTTACGTGGTTTAAATTTTAATTAATTTTTTTTTTATAAAAATAATGTATTTTTAATTTAGTCTTTATTAATAATATTTTTGTTTTGAAATTTTATATTTAAAATAAAAAATAATAATTATTAAAATAATATATATATTTATTTATAAACAATTATATAATTAACCTAGTTCAATCTGTTTATTTATAATTGTTTATTATTATTTATTTATTATTTATTACATTTTAGTATTTTCATATATATTTCTGTTAATAAATTATTTTATTATAATTTTTTAAACAATAATAGTTTTTATAATTACATTTGAAACAAAATAAAACATTTTAAAAAATTATTGCATATTATAAATCTTTTAATATTTATATTGAAATTATTGTTTATTTCAATTTATTTATAAAAATAAAACATTTATAGATTTAATACTAAAACTAATGTAAAATTATTATAAATAAATTAAAAATCTTAGGTATTATTCAAAATATCTTTATTATTATTATATAAATTAATAGCCAAATAATAATAATAATTAATATTTTAAGTAAAACTCATAGAAAATATGTTTTCATTATTATTAATTAAAAAAAACTTAATGGAAATTTAAAAAAAAAATAAATTTTTAATAAATAATTATTAATTTATAATTCATATCTTTTTTATATAAAAAAAATTATAATTATATAATATTAATATCTATGTGGTGGCATCGCCATCATTAATTAATATTATTAACAAAAAAATATATTAAATCAATTAAATGATATAATTATTTTTATATAAATAATTATGGTGGTTGTAAATTATCATGCTAATAACCATCTAGTTCAATTAGTTGTACTATTGACTGTACAATTGTTGTTGTTGTTTGTACCAGGTAACAATTTGTTGGCAATTAACGATCAAAATGGGCTACTAATAAACAGTAACAACAATGGCGGCAACAATGGCGGCAATAATGGTGGCAACAATGGCGGCAATAATGGTGGCAACAATGGCGGCGGCATCAACAATTTAGCATGTATAAAATAACACTGACAACAATAACTATAAAATGTCCATGCTGATACTAATAACTATAATTTAGCTAGCAACAACATCAACAACAACAATGCAGATGCTGTTAAAATAAATAAGGCGGCTAACACTGAATTGCTGACTACTACTGGATCACTGGCGGCGGCGGCTTCACATCAATTACCCCATAGACTAGTAAAAAGACGAGTTTATGTACAACCGTTGATTGTTAATCAGCGAAACTTACAATTAAATGGCGGCGGCGGAGGCGTAGGGGGTATTAGACTGAATAATAGAGGACGGAATCGTAGACGACGTCCAATAGGAGTAATGGGTGGTATTGGTGACGGTGTTGGTGGTGGTAGAAATAGGATGGGTCCCGGTTATGGTGGTGGTGGTGGTGGTGGTAGAAACAGGATGGGTAACGGTGGTGGTGGTGGTGGAAAAAATGTTATTGTAGTAGTAAATAATCGTGGTGGTCTTAATAATGGCGGTGTAGGTGCTGGTGGGGGTGCCAATCTAAATGATTATCAAGATGATTATGATTATACATTACAAGCAAGTAATGATAATAATAATAATAATGGTGGTGGCGGTGGTGGTGGTGGTGGTAACCAAGGTGGCGGTAATAGAAAAAATGGCGGTGGTAATAACGGCAATAACGGTAATAATAATAATAATAATGGAAATAATAATAATGGAAATAATAATAATAATAATGGTAATAATAATAATGGTAATAATAATAATAATAATAATAATGGAAATAATAATAATGGAAATAATAATGGAAATAATAATAATGGAAATAATAATAATAATAATGGAAATAATAATAACGGTAATAATAATAATGGTGGAAATAATAATAATAATAATAACCAAGGTAGTAATAGCAAAGATGAAAAATCTAAAGATGAAAAAACTAAAGACGAAAAAACTAAGGATGAAAAATCTAAAGATAAAAAATGGTGGCAAGTATTTAAAAAATCAGAGAAAAAAACTGATAAAAAAGATAAAAAAGATTAAATTAAAAAATAATAAGACACACAATGAATGAAAAGTAATAATAAAATAGCTAAAAAGCTAATAATTTTATTATTAATAAAATTAAATTGTTTTAATAAATATTAATTTTAAATAAATCTAATATTTGACTATACTATATCTAGGTGTTTTATTATTATTTATTTTTATAAATACTAATGTACTAGTATAAATACACACAAATAAAATTACATTAATAACATTAATTCATCATCAACTGTGGAAAAATGCAATAGATTACGGTATCAAATAATTGCATTATTAATCTTTTCAAAAAAATTGTGAATATTTAAATTATTTTATTATTTTAAAACTAACATTATATTGTTTA